GAGAGAGAGAGGGAGAGAGTGAGAGAGTGAGAGAGACAGTGAGAGAGACAGTGAGAGAGACAGTGAGAGAGAGTGAGAGAGTGAGAGGGAGAGAGAGTGTGTGAATGTGAGAGAGAGAGAGTGCGAGAGAGTGAGAGAGAGAGAGTGAGAGAGAGAGAGTGAGCGAGAGAGTGAGAGGGAGAGAGAGAGTGTGTGTGTATGTGAATGTGAGAGAGAGAATGCGAGAGAGTGAGAGAGAGAGAGAGAGTGAGAGAGAGAGAGATACACGTAAAAATAGTGTACAACTCCAGCTGATAGTAATTATCCACCAAGTGTGAAAGCAAGACGTAGATGAAGCTAGCACAATAATGCCCCCCCCCCCCACCCCTTACCCCTCACCCTCCATTAAATGGTAACATGACCTCTATAACATTAACCCAAAGTAAGCGTGGCCGCACCGGTTTGGGGCACTCTACGGTCAGCTACAGACTGGACAACATTACAGATTCATTAGAGCCGTCACTAGGAAGGGAGAGGGGGAAAAAGTGTGTCTGGTGTAGAAATTACATATCCCAGTTTGTATGCTATCGACTCTCATTTGAATAAGACTTGTCGGTTTCTCACCTATCCACATCACAGGTTCCGGAACATGGGAACTCTGGTCCTTTGAGGACCCCACACCGACCCTTTAAAAATGTGTTTTTGTACGTTCCAGATTATTCCCAGTGTGTTCTTGTGCTTATTTGCCATTTAACGCAATAATAATAATAATAATAATAATAATAATAATAATAATAATAATTATTATTATTATTATTATTATTATTATAACAACAATAAAAACAACAATACTAAGGGAGGTTTATAGGGCTGCGGGAGTAGTGCATGACTGGGGGGGGGAATTACATGACTGGGGGAGGAGAGTATGACTGGGGGAGGAGGGTATGACTGGGGGATGAGGGTATTACAGGGTAGGAGGGTATGACTGTAGGAGGAGGGTATGATGGGGGATTAGGGTAAGACTGGGGGAGGAGGGTATGAATAGGAAAGGAGGGTATGACATGGAGAGGAGGGTATGACTGGGGGATTGGGGTAAGACTGGGGGAGGAGGGTATGAATAGGAAAGGAGGGTATGACATGGGGAGGAGGGTGTGACTGGGGGAGGAGGGTATGACTGGGGAAGGACTATATGGCTAGAGGAGGAGGGAATGACTAAGGAAAGAGGGTATGACTGTGGGAGGCGGGTATGACTGGATGGAGGAGAGGGTCTGACTGGGGTAGGAGGGTATGACTGGGGGAAGAGGGTATGACTGGGGAAGGAGGATATGACTGGGGGAGGAGGGTATGACTGTAGGAGGAGGGTATGACTGGGGGATGAGGGTATGACTGGGGGATGAGTTTATGACAGGGTAGGAGGGTATGAATGTAGGAAGAGGGTGTGAATGGGAAGGGAGGGTAGGACTGGGGGACGAGGGTATGACTGAGGAAGGAGTATATGACTAGAGAAGGAGGGAATCACTTTGGAAGGAGAGTATGACTGTGGGAGGAGGGTATGACTGGGGGGAGGAGGGTATGACTGGGGTAGGAGGGTATGACTGTGGGGAGAGGGTATGACTGAGGAGGAGGGTATGACTGGGGGAGGAGGGTATGACTGAGGAGGAGGGTATGACTGGGGGAGGAGGGTATGACTGCGGGAGGAGTATATGACTAGAGGATGAGGGAATGACTAGGGAAAGAGGGTATGACTGTGGGAAGAGAGTATGACTGGGGGAGGAGGGTATGACTGGGGGGAGAGGGAATGACTGGGGAAGGAGGGTATGACTGGGGGAGGAGGGTATGACTGGGGGAGGAGGTTATGACTGCGGGAGGAGAAATGACTGGGGGATTAGGGTATGAATAGGGGGAGGGTATGACGGGGGGGGGGGGGAGAGAGAGAGAGACAGCTGGACCTTTCCCAACCTTCCGAATGTTTATTTCAAATCTTCGGGCGGAGGCTGAAGAATTTGAGGGGACACTCTACCCTCAACCTGCTTTTACCCCACTCAGTTGTTTGTCTAGGTGGTGATGTGGGGGTGGGGGGGGGGGGGCTTTACTTAACTTGGAACGGAGGGGGACTGAGCACCCCCTTACCCTCAATATTTTCTTCGTAGCAGCGAGCCTGGTCGACATACTAGGGGTGTGTGCGGTATGTCTCGCGTCCGTCCTCTAATGTCTATTCTATGAAGCTGGCTAAACCTCGGAGTCAAATGTTCACAGAAAATGTAATTTGTAGAGATCTGAACCCAAAAGTATACACATGGCAAGGGAGAGAACAAGCATGTTTACATCGCGATTTTTCATTCTCAGCAGTTGTTGAATTCTCGAACCTTCTCTTTATCATCATCATCATCAGTTCTCGTTATGCCTAGTGGCACAAGAGGCTTCAGAGAGGACTTTCCATGCTTTCCTGTCCTGTGCAATCTTCAGTGCAGTTTTCCATGTCAAAGATGCCGCACTCAGGTCACTTTCCATCGTTCGTCTCCATGTTGTTTTTGGGCGCCCCTGTTTTATCTTTCCCTCTGGTGTCCCCCTGAGAGCTGTTTTTGGCAGGTATATCAGAAGTCATTCTCATAACATGGCCAAGCCATTTCCATCTTCTCTTTGTAATCATACTGTCTAAAGTTTCTTGGTTTGTGGCTTGAAGTAGTTTAGTGTTTGAGATTGTATCTGGCAAGAAAATTTTGATAATTCTACGTAGACATGTGTGGTGGAAGGTGGACAGCTTGTGTGCATCCTTTTTGGTCATTCTCCAGCATTCCGCTCCATAAAGAAGAACTGGCAAAATGATGCTCTTGTAGAGTCGGAGTTTCGTTCCTCTGCAGTAATTGTTGGATTTCCAGATTTGCCTCATCATTCCAAAAGCAGCTCTAGCTTTGTTCAGACGTGACTGTGTGTCTTCCTCTGTCCCTCCCAGTAGGGACACCACACTGCCAAGATATGTGAAATGTTCTACATTTTCAAGTGATTGGTTACTTATGGTCACTGGTTGTTGGTTTGGACTGTTTGTCATGATCTTAGTTTTCTTTATATTTATTCTCAGTCCCACCATTTCTGCTGTGCAGTTTAGTCTGTTGCTTTTCTCTTGTATATGTTCATGTTTATGTGATAGGAGTGCTATATCATCGAAAAAATCAAGGTCCTCAAGCATGGTGAATGGAGTCCATCTTATGCCTCTTAATGTCCTGTCTACTGTGTTCTTTAGTATCCAATCAATCACAAGACACATACCTTCTCTTTATCGTTGAGACTGGATCTTAGAACCTTCTCTGCAATGTTCATAATTCAATTACTCCAACTTTTTCTCAACCCTTTGACTCGTCCAACCTTCATTCCATTTTTTTTTTTTACTCCTTCCACATTCTCTACATCGTTTGATTCCTCCAACTTTTTCTCAACCCTTTGACTCGTCCAACCTTCATTCCATTTGTTGACTCCTTCCACATTCTCTACATCGTTTGATTCCTCCAACTTTTTCTCAGACCTTCCAACTCTGACTTCCAACATTCTGTGTAACAATCTCCAATCCTTTTCAGGATGCAATTTTTCGTTATTTGAAGCCCTACTCTGGCTCTTGACAGGGGCCGCAATATAGCCCGGCCATAAATATGGCCTAAAGGCTGAACGCGGTTTCTGGGACCTCTCCGTGGTGATCCTCACCCACATGGTGGGACATTGTGTCATCGGGTGTTTATCGCTTGTGTGATGTCCTGGTGGTTTAGAAAGTCGGTCAGTCAGTCCAACATCTTCTTCCTTTGTTGACTCCTTCCATATTCTCTCCATCGTTTGACCTCTCCAAAATTATATCCAACCTTTCTTCTATTCCAACATTGCCTCTATCATTGAAACCGAATCTTACATTTTCTCACCACACTGTTCATACTTCAACTTCTCCAGCCTTTTCTCCACCTTTGACGCCTTCCTCACTTTCTCTCCGTCCGTTGACTTCTCAAACCTACTCTTCACTTTTTGACGCCTCCAACCGTCTCTCCGTTGTTTAGACACTGAATTCTAGAATCTTCTCTCCGTTGTTTATACTTTAACTCCTCATACTTTCTCTCCACCCTTTAACTTCTCCGATCCTCACTGCACCCATTGACACCTCCCACGTTTTTTCCACCTTTTACTGGTTGACTCCTCCAATATTCTCTCCATCCTGCATTCCTTGACCTCTGCAACCTTGACCTTTGTAACAACTCCCTTGCTGCCTTAGCTCATTGCTTCAAAAACATTTAGCCCTGGCTTCTTTCACAATAACTTGAATTTCTCCACCTCCACCTCAAAGATATTTATTTAGCCTTCTTGTCTTCGCTTTCTGATAGATAGTTTACATCCAGTTTCGTCCTTTTTAGGACGACATGTTTTTAAATTGAAGCCCCACCCTGGCTTTTATCAGGGGCCGCAATATAGGCAGGCCATAAATATGGCCCATTGTCTGAACGCGGTTTCTGTGACCTCTCCACGGCGATCCTCATCCACATGGTAGCACTTTGTGTCATCAGGTGTTTATCGCTTGTGTGATGTCCTGGTGGGGTAGAAAATCCGTCAGTCAGTCGCTTTCTGATTGACACTTACAGGCAAGTTCTTGTGATAAACTTGACTGTTTTTAGGAGTTACCTTTTAGTTCCATACAACTTTGAGGGCGATGTTGGCTCACGGGGCCAGTATTTCTTTCTTAATGGGCTGAACAAGGGACATTCTTGAAGGACATGTTCTGTAGTCTGCACACACAGTCCACAAGGGCTTAATTGGGAACTACTTTGACGAAGCCTCTGCATTTGCTTGTTAAGTTTGGTATGTCCTGTCTTAAGGCGTAGAAAAATGACCTGCCTATGAATGTAAAGTACGTACATTTAGCCTTAATTACTGTAACAACCACTAACCCACCCCCCCCCCACCCCTTTTCCTCCTCATCCTCTTCCCCATGGCACGATGCCTAGAATCCTGCTAGCCTGTCTTGATCTCATTCTCCTGTTTTCCTTCAGGAGCCTTCCTAATCCCATATGCCCTGATGCTGGCCATCGAGGGCATCCCTCTTTTCTTCTTGGAGCTAGCAGTAGGACAGCGGCTGAGAAAAGGCGCCATCGGAGCATGGAATCAGGTGAGTAGTTATATTTTGTCTCCAGGTAAGCCTGTTTTTGGACGTGGCATGGAATTGGATGAGTGGTATATTTCGTTTACTTCTATCTGTCCCCCACCTTGGTCTGTTTTTAGACAGAGCGTGGAACCAGGTGAGTGACCTAGTCAATCCACGACTTCTAGATCTCCCCCAGGTAAGTCTGACTTTGTGATTCAGGGACATAGATCGTGTCGTCTCCATAATAGAAATGAGTTGTCTAGTAAGTTATGTTATCGCAGTGAATTCGACTGTGTGTCGTCTCCATAATGGAAATGAGTTGTCTAGTAAGTTATGTTATCGCAGTGAATTCGACTGTGTGTCGTCTCCATAATGGAAATGAGTTGTCTAGTAAGTTATGTTATCGCAGTCGAATTCACTGCATACTGGGCTTTATTATGTGTGCTCAGTCCTTCCCTGCAGCAGCCACTCCAAGTTTCTGCTCTCATGAGGAGTTGGTTATAATGTCTCCTATCTCGGCCTCAAAGACTGCACAGTTGTGCTTAACAATTCTTTACTCCCCAGGTCACGCAATCGCGATAGTGTAAGAGATACGTCATTACCCACAAGTCCAGTCCATTCAGCGTTAATGATATCTGCTCTAGCGGGCTGCAACTTAAACGTCCATTGCTGTGTTTAAGAATAATACCTGTTTAGGTTTCAGTCTCTTCCCCTTTGCGTCTCTAGGATTACCACCCACAGCCACTTGATCTCTCTCCTTCTCTCCCTCTGTATGTGTGAGAGAGAGAGAGAGAGAGAGAGAGAGAGAGAGAGAGAGAGTGTGTGTGTGTGTGTACTTGCACTTGAAATTGAGTTCTAGTTTCTTAGATGATTGTGAAATGCGTTTACTGACCCCTGAGACACAGAGGTTGACGCTACTGGTATAGGAAGGAGGCAAAAAAGCGTCGAATAATGCGAAGAAGTGAATGAGTGAAAATAAAACCTAGGGAAAACAGAAAATAAGAGAGAAAGAGAGAAGTAAGTAGGAGAGAAAAAGAGAAAGTGACTGAATAAGAGAGAGAGAGAGAGAGAGAGAGAGAGAGAGAGAGAGAGAGAGAGAGAGAGAGAGAGGGGGGGAGACAGTGACTGCGTGTGTGTTATGCATCAAGTATGATTACAAAGATGACTGATGAGGCCGATGCGGGTCCGAAAAGTTCTTGGACAATGAGGACAGTGAATGAGCGTTGTGCCAGGGAGGGGATCTCCTACAGTCGCCTTTCTGTCCATCCTTTTCCTAATCAGTCTTGCTGTTCTGTTTGCTTCACATGTAGCCTCGCCCTTGTGTGGAGTTGCACGCCATGCATTTCTGTCTTGAGAGGCAGCCTCCTAGTTGGTGTCATTCATCCCAAATACTTTGAGTGAAGACTTCAAGGTGTCCTTAAAGCGTTTGCCTCGCCGTGATGAATGAGTGACTTGCGCGGTGACTTGGATTAAAGTGAGCAAGAGTTGCGCAGTTTCGTCACCCTCACTCTCTGGGTCCAGCGCAAAGACAGCGTAAAGTCCGGATGACTGGAGAGATGTCTAGGTGCAGTGGATGACCGAGGAAGAAGAAAGAGAGACGACCAACAGAATGAGGGATATAAAAAGAGAAGAGATACTGAGATTCAGAAAGTAGTAAAGAGAAAGCGACACATTCAAATAGGAACAAAAAAGAGGCACAGTAAAAGAAATAAAGAAACAGAAAGTGACTGCATGTTTGTGAGAGAGAAAGAGAGGGAGAAACGTAGGGGCAGGGATAGAATTTAAGTGATATAGAGATTGAGAAATAGACGTATAGAAACAGAGTTTGTTGAAACATGTCAAATATTGTCCCATTAGTGCAGAAAACGGAGCTATAAAGACATCAGATGAACATCATGAAATCTTCTCTTAACCGCGCTTTTCCGGTTTACAAGTCACGTGATGTAAGGGGAAACAATTTATTTCCGAATTGTTCTTTCCGGTCCTCGTGTAATAGAATATGGCAGAGAAGCTAGCGGAATAACCAGTCCAAACAGATCGCGTGAGGATAAGGCCAGTCCAAACAAATCGCGTGAGGATAAGGCCAGTCCAAACAAATCGCGTGGGGACTGGACCTAGTCGGCTGTCTTTGAAACCAATCGATACATTTATACATATTTCTGCTTATATACAGGGAATGCAGAATATGGGAAATTAATGCTCTGTGAAAACAAAACATTTCGCGGCTTCTGGCCGCTGTGGTTGCAACGTATGAGTGTATTAATGTCAAAAGATACAACATATTATCACCATTCTCATCATCATGATTGTCCTCGTCATAATCATCGCTATCGCAATCATCAAGTGCCCTGGCAATTCACAGGTGTGTGTCTGCGGGGAAGGGGGAAGATATGTTTTTCCCAAATTTGCAGTTTTCAATTAAAAGAATCGACAAACGTGAAATAGATTTCTTGAGAGAAATTAACTCACAGAAAACATTGATGAAAACTTTAGAAGTAGACAATCTACACTTTTACGGTACGAAACATTAGAGAACATCGGGAGTACGAGACATCTGGAGATAAGCGGAGTCAGAGAGAGAGAGAGAGAGAGAGAGAGAGAGAGAGAGAGAGAGAGAGAGAGAGAGAGAGAGAGAAGAAGAAGATCAGAAAAAGATACGAATATAAGAAGAAGAGAAAAAGGTGAAAAGAATATGAGAAGAAGACAAAAAGAAAATGAAAAGAAGTTACGAATATAAGAAAACAAGAAGAAAAGAAGAACATAAGAAGCACACGAGAAGAAAATAAGCAGACAATAAGAAGAAGACCGAAATAAGACAAGAACAAAATAAGAAGAACATAAGAAGACAAAAAGATAAGAAGAGAATAGGGACAAGATTAGAAGAAGATAAGCAGAAGATAAGAAGAAGACAGACAGAAGATGAGAAGAAGATAAGAAAAAGACTTCATAGTTTGGTGTCTGCTGTCTTTATTGCTCTGTTCTGCAGGGTCGGCCATGTCTTTAAAAAAAAACATGCTACGGCGTTCTTACTGCTTAAACAACAAAACAAAATAAGCGTCATATGTGATGTATTTTGAAGCTAATGAAAACAATAAGAAAGAGACAAACGCTGTTCTTTGACCACATGAGAAGAGAGACATGGGAGAACATCGCGACAACTGGAAATATCAATGGGAAAAGGGGTAGATGCAAACGAAGAGAGATGACGCTGGATGAGCTTAAACGATGACATGGACGGATATCATCAAGAGAGCTAGCTGTTCCAGGCAACAAGAGATCGTGATTTGTGGAGACGCTTGAGCGCCTACGCCAGTTGGCAGGGCACATGACGACGATGATGTATTTGTATTGCTGCCAAACTAGAATGCGGAAAGGCACTGGCTCTCTCAACGATACTTCTGTTGCAGGTATCTCCGTTTCTGTCGGGAGTTGGTATCTGCTCCGCCATTGTGTCTTTCTACCTGTCTCTCTACTACAATACAATCATGAGCTGGTGTATAGTCTACCTGTTTCAGGTGAGTGCACACCTGTAACCACGTGTCTGTTTCTTGTTGCTGTGTATTCTACTCTCCTAATTGTGGGTTGGCAGCCAGGACTTTTCCACACAGCATTAGGTCTGCCGACGCTAGACGCTCGCCTAAGGGTCCGAATGTTATGACTTGTTCAAAAATGACCTTGGCTTTCAGCCTTGAGTGGATACCAAGTAAAGTCCTGGGAAGTAAAAGCAGCCACATCACCAGTCGAGTAGCTAGTTTTATTTTTTTTTTACTATAGGTCTACCACTCTAGGCCTAAAATATCTGGAGTCATGGATCAGTGTCCTATTGGGTATCTTTGTGTTTGTGTGTATCAGTGTTGCCACTTTTCTTTGACAAAAAACATCCAAAACGGAGTCAAAAAATATCTAAAACGATATAAATTTGAGTGGAAAACATCTAGAAACAACATCCAAATGGAAAGAGTCACAAATTACATAGCAATTGATAAGACTTACCCTATTGAATCATGTTCTCATCTTTATTGAAGTCTGCCTCATAAGATCCACAGGATAAACTTAGTTTGGATGATGAAGTTGAAGCTTCAGATCCAAAATGACTCTGGTATGCTTTAGCTGTTCCAATTTCTTATAATACCCAATCAGGGAGCTGATAAGTGGAACAGCCTTTTCCTACTCTTATCAGGCCGAATTTCATTGTCAAGATAGCATTTAGAAGGTGAAATTTCATCCTGTTTCTTAGGTTAAATTTGATAAATTCACTCCAAATGAAAAACATATAAAAACATCTACCATCTAAACGTCAAAAACGGCATCTAAATGCAAGGGAAAACATCTAAATCTGAATGTAAAACATCCAGAGTGGCAACACTGATGAGAGAGTGCGTGTGTAGCATAGCGTCAGTTTGAAACACAGACAAAAAGTCAGTCACGTTGTCCATTGCATGATTTTGCAGAACCAACCGCAACATTTCCTGACTGTTTTTAGTTTTACCAGACAATTTTACGTTTATTAGTTTGTTTTTGTCCAATGACCAGTGGGCTATCGATACCAGTGTCAAAATCAACGCAAGGCGATCTACTACCAAATCGCCTGCAGCTTGAATTAAACAGGGTACCTCGGCGAGCTCATAAGTCCTAAGAGTGTTGGTACCTAGTTAATTACGTAAACATACATGTTTAGTACTGCTGCTATTTACAACTCGCTCTCGCCATTATTTGTCTTTCATCTTCTCTCTCCTTCTGCAGTCATGATTGTAACACCTAGGGATATTACTGTTACTACCACAATAGCAACAACTACTACTGCTGCTGCTACTACTGCTGCTGCAACCACAACGAAAGCAACAATAACTATTGCTACTACTGCTACTAATACTACTACCACCACTGCTGCTGATGGTTCTATTACTGGTGCTGCTGTTACTGCTACTACTATTGTTACAACAGCAACACTAAATATACCCACTACTTCTTCTACTAACTCTATTACTGCTACCACTAAAAAACTACTCCTATTGATGCTGCTGCCACTACTACTGCTACTACTAATACTGCTTCTACTGCTACTGCTGCTGCTACTACTATTACTACTACTACTTTACGCAAACTTCAAACAGGGCAGTAAAAGTTTATTTAATTTACATTCCTCAGTCGTTTCAGAGTCCCCTCCCTTGGTCGTCGTGCCCGCATCATTTCGGCGAAAACGGCAGTTTTGTGGCAGTGCCAGAATGTGAGGTAAACCAAATCGTCAATCAGTTTTCTCATCTAACACTGCCCCGCTATATCATATTCTATGATACATGTACACTGTTGTCTGGACTTATGCGGTGAAGGCACAAAACCGGTCCATTATCTTTTGAAAAACCGGCGAGGAATTCGGAACCTAGTATCTGTAAAGAAAAAAGAAAAGTGAAGGACCCTTTTCTTTTAGACGTATTGGGCATATAGGGCTAGACCTCTTTTTTATAGACTAAACGGCGTTTGGTGGGTGATGTGGTCAGCATCACGCCGGCCGCCTTTACTTCACAGGACTATACCTTGTACCCACTCAAGGCTGGGTCAACCTGGGAGCCAAGGTCATTTTTAAAAAACAAAAAATCCGGCCCTCGTCTAGAACCGAACGCCTGACCTTCCGATCCACAGATGAGTGTCTAGCTGCTAGACCGCGGCAGCTTCCATCTAGTACTTGGGGATCATTGAACTGTGAAACGCATGACCAACTTCCAGGGGTAATTTTTTTTTTCTGACGGTACGCTGCAGTAGACGAGACATTAAAGACAGCAATAGACGAGACATTAAAGACAGCACGAGAGAGGGGTTCAGAAAATAATTTGCTGCATAACGATGGTCGGGACTTGTTTTTTCTGACGGTACATAATGTTTTACCAACAATGTGTTGTCAGTGTCAAAAGTGGACATTAACAATGAAAGAATCAGTACGGTCTGAGAGGAATGGCTCTGCCAGGGGATCTGGCCGACGCTCAACACTCAGGGGAAATGCGAGACGGACATATAATCAAACAGTTACTGGTGCCGTCGGAATTGGAACTCTTCATTTGCTGCTGAAGATGGGGAAGGAGCGCTTGTGGGAGTGTCCCGAGTGCTGGATCGGAAACGATGATACCAGAAAAGAAGTAGGGACGGAACCAGTGCTAAATTACGATAGAGACAACGGATGAAATGGTTTGGTCAAGTGAAAGGACTACCACGAGATAGTGTGCCACAGAGAGCCTTGTTATTTAAACAGAATCGAAGCAGTACTAGAGGTCGACCGCGCAAGCGATGGATAGATGGAATTTTCGTGGCCGTAAATACTAGCATCTGTGTAGCACATACCAAGGAACGCAGTAAAGGCACTTTTTCTTATGCACCATTGTTTTCTTAGGACTTCTGTAATAGACACTTTGTGGTACCTGCTGGTATCTTGCAACAAACCCTGTGTGGTGAGCAGCGGATTTCTGGACAAGGATGTCTTTTCCGCGCTTGTGGAAGTCTTCTTGTTCTTCTTCTTCTTCTTCTTCTTCTTCTTCTTCTTCTTCTTCTTCTTCTTCTTCTTCTTTGCATTCACCAGCTGTAAACTCTGGCGGAAAGTTCTGGTTGTTCATCAACTTCTGGACTGCAGTCCTGTTCGAAAACCTGAGTGTTGCGTGTGCATCCGTTTTACAGATCTGGCTCATTTGTATACAGGATGCTGGTTCCTTGCCTCTCAGGCAGATGCACTACGACTTCGAAGGAAGCTCCCAATTAGTCGACTCTTACGACATGCTTTTGGGTAGGCAGTGGGCCTATTCTTGTTTTTCATATAATAGGACCCCGGAACCCACACGGGAATCTTGCGGACGTAATATTCCAGCCCCGTTTTTAATTTCCTTTAAGTTTCAACACCAAGCTTACCCCGGTATAAATCAAATCCTTTTTTTAAGGCTCCAGTGACTTAAAGTCAAAGTGCAGTTAAATCTCAGTCGTGCTAACGAAACTGTTATTGGTTGTTGATCGCATGAATATTCATTGACTCGTGTCTCTCTATCTGCAAGAGAAGCAGCCCACCCAGCTACTTCTGGTACCGCTCCACCCTCAACACAGCTCCCACGGTGGAGTCGATCCCCGAGTTCAACTGGAAGATCGCTGTGGGACTGGTGGCGGCATGGTTGCTGGTCTTTCTCTGCATTCTCAAGGGCATCAAAACCACTGGCAAGGTCAGTGATCTCACTTCAACCAAATCTCTATCTCTCTCTGTTTGCCTGTCTCTCTATGACTCTTTCTATCTTGTTGTTTTTGTCTCTCTGTCTGTCTACCTCTCTGTCTCTCTCCGTCTTTCAGTTTCTGTCCTACTTTAACTGTCCCCCTGTCTCTGTCTCTCTCTTTTTTTTTTCTCCCTCCGTCTCTGCCTTTCTCTGTATTTGTGTCTGTCTCCATGTCTCTGTCTGTCACTATCTCTCTTTATCTCTCTATGTCGCTGTCTATCTCTATCTCTATCTATCTTTGTCTCTCTATGTCTCTCTGTCTGTATCTCTCACTGTCTCTGTGTGTGTGTCTCTCTCTATGCTCCTCTGTCTCTCTCTGTGTTTCTGTCTCTCCGTCTATCTCTGTTTCTCTGTCATCTTCTATCTGTCTCTCTGTCTCATTTTCTGACTCTTTCTCTCCGTCTACATCTCTGTTTCTTTCTCTATGTCTCTTTGTCATCTTCTCTGTCTCTTTCTCTCTGTCTCCTTCTGTCTTTTTCTCTCTGTCTCATTCTCAGTCTCTTTCTCTCTTTCTCTCTGTCTTCTTCTCAGTCTCTGTCTCTCTGTCTCATTCTTTGTCTCTTTCTGTCTCTCTATCTCCTTCTCTGTCTCGTATCTCTGCGTCTCTCTATGTCTATGTCTCCCTGTGTGTGTGTGTGTGTGTGTGTGTGTGTGTGTGTGTGTGTGTGTGGATTACTTTTTTCCTAGAAAATGAAAGCTGCCCATGCTCAGCATACCATGTCTTAAAAGGGTGCCGGTACTGATCACAAAGTGACTGTGGTGATAAACCAATGATGCCTGGAGAAAAGGGTGCTGGTATTGTATGCTTCCAGACAAATATAGCCCTCTGTGTATCTCCCTCTCTCTACCCATCTCCTTCTCTCGCTCTCTCTCTCTCTCTCTCTCTCTATTTATTTATCTCTCTCTACATATATCTTTCTCTCTCCCGCTCTCTTTCTCTTCGTCTACATATTTCTATCTCTCTACATTTATCTCTCTCTCTCTCGCTCTTTCTTATGTAGGAAAGTATGTGTCTGCTATGCTACATTCTTATATATGTACTTAGTAAAATTATGTATATTGATATGTGCATTTAACATAGGTCACCTACACACACACAAACATATATATACACACACATATGCAAACACACAAAAACAGTTGCCGTGTGAAAGATGAGTTTTAAGAAAAGGCGAATGCAGCACGTACCTGTGAGTCATATTTGTGGACTTTTCAAAATAAAGTTGTTTCTGTTGTTATGTCTTTTTTGTTCTCTCTCTCTCTCTCTCTCTCTCTCTCTCTCTCTCTCTCTCTCTCTCTCTCTCTTTCTCCCTCTCCCTCTCTCCCGCTCGTTGTCTCTCTGTTTATAAATATTATATATCTTACTATGTTCGGTCCTTCTATTCCTCTGTCTCTCCCTTTCTGTCATTCTCTCTCTCATTATCCCTCTCTCCCCTCCCCCTCTCTCTCTTTTTCTCTCTCTCTGTTTGTATGCTATTTGAAGCTTGACTCGTCTTTTAAAAAAGCATCATTTTCACTCTTTGAGCAGTACGCAATAGCATATGGTGCTTGCTTCATGACTGGCACCTTTCCCTCTTTCCAGACGATAGTGTTATATTGCACTAGCAGGAAGCATGGGACTCACAGCCCATGGCGATGGCGAGTGCGACTAGCAAGACCCACCGGTGGTGCTCTTTATAGCACACAGCTTGGGCAGTATTGTAGAGACCATATGTTGCTCATGCATCATTATTCCTCACCTGCCTTGTTTACTGCAAAGGAAAGATAACACTAGTTGGAACACAGAAGACTGCACAAGTTGCCGGATCAGAAGAGCAGTGCCATATCTGTCCGCCTTGCTTGGTCTATACTTATATACACACCTGTACTGACCTAACTAGTTATAAACTGGCAACAGCTGTGGCCCACCTGCCCGTCCATATACAACAGTGTTTTGTTGTTCTTATATCAGGTGGTTTACGTGACAGCAACCTTTCCCTACCTGGTTCTGGTGATATTTTTCTTTCGTGGAATTACCTTGGAAGGATTCGACAAGGGGCTAGCACTTCTATTCATTCCCGAGGTAAGTCTGCTTTACTGGGTGTAGTTATTTCCCCTTCGATGTTCAACTCTTTCTTACTGGCATGAGAAAATGGCTCCAGGTGTGCAGAAGCTTCCGCTAGTCGACAGTGCTAGGCACGTGATAGGCACATCAATGATAATGATAATAATGATTATGTGTGTGTATATATATATAAATATGTGGTCAAGGCACAAGCAACGGAATCAGTTTTTTTTTTATCGTTCACCGGCTGTGAATTCCGGCGGAAGGTCCCGGTTAATCGTCCGCTTGGACTTTTGGCTATTACCCGGACCTGATTTTTGCGTGTACAACCGTTTTAATGTTCCCTGCCTCATGGGCAGCTGTACTCCGACTTCGAAGGAAGACGTCAGGCCTATTTTTAGGTTGACTGTAGCCATTGTTTTGTGTGGGTCGAGACGTTGCCTGATTTGTGTGGAGTCCACTTTGTCTCCTTCTCCGCAGGTTTTGCCCCCGGAGTACCCCTTTGGGGCAGCCCCCTGTGGAACGGTTAGCCCTCAAGGGAAGGCAGGGGCAGATCATGGGCATTCCCCGCCATCCAAGGAGGCTTCCATGTATGCAGAGCCGGCACATGGCGCTCTGGTTCTGGGCTCACCCAAGGAATCGTCACGTCCTGCACATGCCTGCTTCCCGCTCGACAAGAGCTGCGCCCTCTGGAAGTCAGCGGGGAGCAGCCCCTTGGTTTTGGACTTTTGTGACGACGCGAATAGGTACATTCTTTTTTCTTCGCACCTTAGAATTCTTTGACGAGCCGTTAGCCCGACAGAATTTTACATCCTGCGTCAGGCATATCGTTATCAGTTTGGTCCCAACACTCGGGCGAGTGGGGTCTTTGGGTGTGGACATTTGGTATTTTTCCGTTCAATACAAATTGTGGTGGTCAGATTTTGAGCTAACTCGTGTGCCGTAGGATCTAGTTTTGTCGGACATTTGGGCTTAGCCAGCCAATAGGCTGTTGCTGTTGTTGTGTACCTCAGCGCGGTGACGACGACACTAAGGGTTAATTAACCGAGGATGTACATGGATGGCCAGCCTCTGGATGGTTGCTGTTGTGGTGTACCTCAGCGCGGTGACGACGACACTGAGGGTTAACAGAGGATGTACAGTGAACATTGTTCTCTTCACTCCGCATTCTTTTAACCAAGGGTTGTGATTTTTAGCTGTACGTTTGGCAAGCATACTCATGTTCCTAGTGAGTTTTGATAACCTTATTCACCCAAGCGTTTGGGGGCTGGCTGATGAGAGCCACAAGGACACATCACCTCTGGGGGCCGCCAAAACTCCGAGATCCCCTGACAGCTCTGTTAATGCTCATTTGAGACATTATCCGTGGCGCACGACAAGGACGTGCTGCAGGGGTCTTGCGCGAGGTTCCGTAAAACTAGAACAGTGAAGGACTGGCACCCGAGTGACGTACGGAGTATCTCCTTATACACATCATGTTGGACTTAACTTCCCCTCACGCCTGTGACATAAATCACCGCGCCACAACGGAATCAGTAGAGACAGAAGATTATTATAGCCTGGAGAGAATGAGCCACTTGGGTTTAACCAGAGGGTCTTGGCCGGCTCACTACACTCAGAGGAAAGGCAAGACAGACTTTTAAACAGATTGTGACCTACCATTAGTATTGGAACTCTGCGCTGGCTGCTGAAGATGAGGACGGAGCATGCATGGGAATGCCCTGAGTGCTGTGATGAAAATTCTTGACTCAGCTCAACTCATATAAATATGTATGTGTATGTATGTGTGTGTGTGTGTGGGGGGGGGGGGGGTTGAACATGTGACAAACTGGAAAACAATAGGGAAACAGAAGTAGAGGAAGACAGCGTGTGTCAGTTGGTGACAACCTTCTGGCCTTGCAAGGAAAGAAAAATAAAGTGATAAATCTCATTGCAGATTACTCAGTATGAACAAGCATACACGCTCGTCAGCCGCAAAGTATTTGAAGGGAAGACGGTGGAAAGACAGACAAATAAACAAATGAACAGACAACAGGCAGAGACACGGATAGAGAAAGGGAGACGGAGGACAAAGAGAGAGGCAGAGGGAATAAGAGACATACACAAACATCCACACACACACACAGAGAGAAAGAGAGAGAGAGAGAGAGGCAGAGAGAGAGAGAGGCATTTATTTTCTGTCCAGACCACTCCAGTGTACTGGGTAATCAGAGAGCTGATAGGATGGCTGCCGCCGCTCCTCTAAGCGATGAGCAACTTTATGTTAAGGCGGACATAATGAATACTCTTTTAGATCAACTGGATTAGGCAACAGAAAAGAGTATAATACCTTGAAATACTCGTACTAATTCACAGACTGGTGAGCAGTAGTTCTGGGAGATTTTCAGCAAAAAAATTAAAAAAAAAAAACAGGCGAACTTTTAATCAGGCTGCAACCGCTATCATTAGTTTGCTGATTTCGAGAAAGGAGAGAAGAACGCGTTGAAGTGTCCAGAATGTATAGATATTCATTCTAGATTCCTTCATTTATTCGCTCGTTCATTCATTCATTCTTCACACATGGTCTTCTTGTCCTGTCAGTGGCACCGTCTCTGGGACCCCGCAGTGTGGCTGGACGCGGCAACTCAGATCTTCTACTCCTTCGGCCTGGCTTTCGGCAGCCTCATAGCCCTAGCTTCCTACAACCCGGTGAGGGGTGACTTCCTCAGAGACACTCTTTTGGTCACCATCTGTGACTTCTTCACTTCGATCTTCACAGCTGTTGTCGTGTTTTGTATATTGGGTAAGTGGATGCAACAATACCTAAAAAGATGAGTTATAAGTTATAAAAATAATAGTAGCAGCAGCAGAATCTGTAGTTCTAATACGAAGGCTATTCTAAAATCAACATCCGATTGGCTGGAAACAATTATAAATAACTGACAACAACATCTAAATGCGTACAAAAGATTCATATATCACTGCATTACTTTTCCACATGGTCGACAACTAAATGTAGCATTTGGCGTACCGTAGCCTTTCGTGACGAAACACCGCTGCCAAGACAAATATAGCAACTTGTTGGCTCCATCTATGACCTCGTGGTTGGTGTTGAAGCGCTGGGTAGCCAACCTGACCTTTATCTTGCCGATAAGATTATAATTTCTGGATGCCAAATCCGTGCTGTAACGGGGTTGAACATTTTCAAAAAGAAATGCTCAAATAAAGCCTTTGTGCAAACAGCAGTTTGTGGCCCCGCGTTTTCATGCAGCATAATGACATGTCACTCATAAAATTATCAGTGTGCACACGACCCAGTCGACGATGAACCTTGGCGGCCTTTTCATATTCTGCATGAAGAAAACGGATTTCACATTTGGCAGGTAAGACTTTAACAGTGTCCTTATTTATTCGTTCGCGATTCGTGAACCAATGAAAAACAAAAGGCAACAGTGGGCTGATGTGATGTGAGCTAAAAGGCTACTGAATGATGCATGCAATAAACGGTGTCACGATGGCGAACGGATTTTTTTCAACCAGCCATTCAGAGATTAAGATTAATTTTAGAATAGTCCTCCTTTCCACAGTGACTTAATATTTGTAACGTGCTGACAACTACACGGTTCTCGTTACGAGGTAGGCACTTTAAAAAAAAAACACTTTAACTGTAGGAGAAACTTACAAAACACTCTGTATTTGTTGTTATAATAGAAGCAGAGGAATCAGCTGTAGTAGTAGTTGTTGTGGTAGTGGTGGTGGTGGTGGTGGTGGTGGTAGTAGTAGTAGTAGTAGTAGAAGTAGTAGTAGTAGTAGTAGTAGTAGTAGTAGTAGTAGTAGTAGTAGTAGTAGTAGTAGTAGTAGTAGTAGCAGTAGTAGTAGTAGTAGCATAAGTAGTAGTAGTAGTAGTAGTAGTAGTAGTAGCAGTAGTAGTAATAGTGGCAATAACAGCTGCAATAGTAGTAGTAACAGCAGCAGAAACAACAGCATCAGCAGTAGTTGGAGTAAATGCAATAATAATAATAATAATAATAATAAAAATAATAATTGCTGTTTCTGTGTAGGTTTCCGAGCAACTATGCAGTATAAAGCTTGCCTTGAGCAGAACCGATCACACAACACTGGGTCAAGTCTGCAGGCGGACAACCATACGTGCAACTTCCAGGAAATCATTGAGAAGGTGTGTATGCCTAATGTGTATGCATTAGTGTGTCTGTGCGTGTGTATGTAAGTGTGTGGGAGCCTCCGTCGTGTAGCGGCTAGATGCTAGCTTGCTGATCCGAAGTTAGTGGATTGAGGTCCTGATGGAGCTCAACTTCAAAAATAATCTTGGCTTCCAGGCTGACACAGCCTGGTAGAAAGAGTAAAAAGAAGTAAAGGCGACCGGCATGATGTTGACCACATCATCTACCAACTGGGACTGGTTTATATAATATAGGTCTAGCCCTATATGCCTAATACGTTTGCATACGTGGAAAAGGGTACTTTATTTTACTTTTTGTGCGTGTCCGTAAGTATGGATGTCTGTATGTGTGTGTTTGTGTGTGTATATGTGTGTATATGTGTGTGTTTGTGTGTGTTTATGTGTGTATTTGTGTGTGTTTGTGTATACCATGCCTGCTGGCGTTGGTAGTCATCTCCATCCACAGCCTTCTGTCTCGTGTACTTTCAATCAACTTTGACACAGATGATTTTCAATTTTAATCTTCTTTAATTATCATTACAGCTCTCTCTCTCTCTCTCTCCCTCTCTCTCTCTCTCTCTCTTTCTCTCTCTCTCTGACTCGCTCTTTCTCTCCCTCTCTCTCTCGCTTTCTCTCTCTGACTTGCTCTCTCTCTATGACTCTCTCTCTCTCTCTCTCTCTCTCTGACTTGCTTTTTCTCTCTCTCTCTGACTCGCTCTTTCTCTCCGTCTCTCTCTCGCTCTCTCTCTCTGACTTGCTCTCTCTCTATGACACTCTCTCTCTGACTTGCTCTCTCTCTCTCTATGACTCTCTCTCTCTCTCTGACTTGCTCTCTCTCTCTCTATGACTCTCTCTCTCTCTCTCTCTCTGACTTGCTCTTTCTCTCTCTCTCTCTCGATTTCTTTCTGACACTCGCTTACTCTCTCTCGCGCGCGTATGTGTGTACGTGTGTGTGGTTTTTTTTCCTGCTATCCACACTAAAACCCTTGTTTGGACTTTTTGTTATAATTAAGTCCATATTTTTTGCGGTTGTGTTTTATTTTAAGCGATCAGAAATTATTTTTCTTTTCAAAACATAAACAATAGCTTGCCATTTGTGTCCGTGTCTATGCAACTGCCTGGTTGTGGTAGAAATTTTGCGCCGCCATCAACAAATCTTTGGGGGGGGGGGGGGGGGGGGTGTTGGGATGTTCACAGCTCACTAATAATTATTTGGGGAAGGAGTGGGGGGGGGGGGAGGCGCGTGAATCCTATTTGAGTGCAAAGTAATTACTTTACTATTATTATTATTATTATTGTGTAATAATAACAAAAAATATAATAGTGTATGTGAAATTATATGTAATGTATATATCAATTTGTAGGTGAGTGACTGTAGTTAAGGCGTTACGAACGCGCTTCGTAATGACTTGTAATGCTAGTGTGGCAGGTTCGATCCCAGCCGCAGGCGGTTTGGCAACAAACTGCATCGCGCAGGTTTCATCTTGGTTTCGAAAGCCGACCGTTTAGTAGGCAATGGCAAACTACACAACGTAAATTTGCTGAGAAAAACAACAACAGCCATACACATACACACACACATACACACACACATACACACACACATACACACACACACATATACACACACATACACACACGCACACACACACATACACACACACATACACACACACATACACACACATACATACACACGCACACACACATACACAGATACACACACATACACACACATATATACACATACACACACATATATACACATACACACACAAACACACACACACACACACACACATAAATTGCTAAGGTTGGTTCGGCAACGACTATAAAGGACACAGAATTAGATTTTCGAATATGTGAGTTTAAATAGAGAAACTCTATACATGGTTAGGAAGGACTACGGCCATCTTGCAAATGGTCTAGTCAGTGGAGGTTCGAGTCCTAAGAATCATTGTGGAGGCAGGGCTTCAACCCCTGAACAGTTTTGGAAAGGCCCAATTGGCTTGAACCCCGAGATTCCGACAGCTGTTGTCGTTTCAAGTGTGATCTTCTTCTTCTTCCTCTTCTACTCCTCGAATGCCTCGCTGCGTCAGGACAGAAAGAGATCTCTGTAACGGGCCCTTCTGTTTGCTTCGTACAAAGTACTTTTTAGAGTCTGATATTTCTGCGGTCCATCTTCTGCGATTTAAACATCTGGCTCTATTATATCTATAGTTGTATAACATTGCTCTCTGTGGTACCCTGTCTGCTGCCAATCTTGTTACATGGCCAAACCATTTGATTTGTTGTCAACCGATACAGCTCAGTATTTGTTCTGGGCCGACTCTTGATACCATCGCGTAATTCATGTGTGGTTTCACATCTATATGACGTGGATGTTTTTGAACTACCCGGGACTACGACTTGGCATAGACTAGAAAAGGGCTTTTCAATTGGCGGTCCGCGGGCCAGAATTGGCCTGCGGAAGCATAGCAAGTGGCCCGCGGATCCCTGCCAGGTGTATTGTACTGATGACCAGTGCTACGGAGTTTGTGCACTGCGCTGAGAATCTTCGGACTAAGGCTTGAGTTTGGAGTATAATATACCACTTAAGGGTTATTACCCTTGTGCCATGATGTTGATCCGTTATTCAAACCAAACCAACATACGTGTGTTCTTATTATACGCTGGGAATTGAGTTGACATAAATTAGTGTGTACAATTTTATCGACCAGTAGGAACTCATTTATTATGTCATCAGCTAATCAAATGTTTAAAATGTATGTAAGCCAATCAAAACTCACACATGCTCATTTCAACCAATGAAACCCATAAAGATTATATACGCCAATCAGAACTCATACACAGTCACAACCTATGCAAGATTCTGTCAACCAATCAAAACTCATACAAGATTGTATTGAACACAGTCAGGATCCGGTACTGGACTGGCCTTCATTACCTTCACAGAAGCCATCAACCAGTTCCCACTGGCGCCACTATGGGCAGTGCTCTTCTTTCTCATGCTGCTGACCCTTGGGCTGGACTCCATGTTTGGGACTCTAGAAGGGGCCATCACTTCCCTCAACGATCTGATGTTTTTTCCCAGAATCAGGAAGGAGGTCGTCTGCGGTAAGTCCGCCTTGGAGTTCATCGTAAATATTCTGCTTGCTATATGTAGTACTTACATCATTCTATGCCTCATCATCACTCGGTACTTAAGCAGGTTGAAATTTTCGTAAACATAATTAATGCTGTTTTAACAATCTGTCTTTATTGCCCGTATGTATCAATTTGGTGTATTTTTTTTTTTTTTTTTAGTTAAACTGTACGGCGATGTCATAATTATTGGGGCAGTACAAAACGGTTACGAGGTGACCTGTAATCCAGACGGGGGTGGGTGTGAATGATGCCATATTTGACAGTCGGTGGGTGTACATGATGACATATTTGGCAGTTGGTTTGGTGTGGATGATGCCATATATGGCAGTTGGTTTGGTGTGGATGATGCCATATTTAGCAGTGGGTTGGTGTGGATGATGCCATATTTGGCAGTTGGTTTGGTGTGGATGATGTCATATCTGGCAGTCGGTGTGGATGATGTCATACTATCATATCCAACTATGCGTTTGCTTTCACAATTTTTCATATTTATTTTATTTTATTTCATGCAGTATAAGTACGCGCTTAGAAAGGGGAAGTGGGGAAGGGCGGAGGGAGGGGACTGTAGAAGTCAAGAGAGGCCTGTTTAATACCTGCTTTTTTCTATCTAGGCATCGTCTGTTTGGGCTGTCTGATACTGTCAATGTGTTTCGCAACATCGACTGGGCCCTATGTGTTCGCCTTGTTCGACTCGTTTTGCGCCAATATTCCCTTGTTGATCGTCGGATTCATGGAGTGTGTGGCCATATCTTACATCTACGGCCTCAAGCAGTGAGTACCTTCCAAGTTACATCTCATCTTGTTTTGAGTGGCAATTATTTCTCAGATAAAGAGATTGTATAAACTTTTTTCTCTGGATAATTAGTAAGTACGGTCAATGACGCGGCGTCCGTGGCTTAGGCGTTGCGAGTCCGACGTACCGCTATCGAAACTCACTACTGGCTGCGTGGATTTTTATCATGGTATGGGGCGTCGCAGGTCCACCCAGCCTAAAATGGGTACCAGGATAGCTGTCCTGGGGAAGTAAAGACAGCAGTGTAATGCTGACTACATTACCCAGCTAGTGCCGATTGGTCTGTAAAAATATGGGACGCTCTTACCATATGCCAGATGCGCCTAAAGAGTGAAAAGGGATCAAAGAGAGATCAGACAGTAAATGACCCTTTTCAGCGCCCTTCTGTGTATTGAGCATATAGGGCTAGACCTATATTTTATAGACCAATCGGCATCCGGTGGGTGATGTGGTCAGCATCATGCTGGCCGCCTTTACTTCCCATGTCTATACCCGGTACCCACTCAAGGCTGGATCGATCTGGGAACCAAGGTCTTTTCTGAAGTAAGCCCGGGACCACAAGGACCCGAACCGCCGACTTTTTGATCCACAGCTGGATAATTAAAAAGCAATTAGAACGCTGACCCGAAGTTCTAGTAACCAAGTTCATATATTTGTGTATATAAACTGCTGTAAATATGAATGTATCTGCTGTGTATTGAAAACAGATCAGTGTTCTTCGACCTTTTGACACCCACGGCCCACCAAAACAGAGACAATTGTTTCGGAACCCACCAGAGATCAAAACAAACACAGAAATAAAAACAAGGGGCAGATGTACTTCGACCAATAAGTCGACTCCTACGACATGCTTGTTGGGAAGTCACTTCTTGTTTTCACCACAACGGGGTCCCGGAACCCGCACGGGGAGTTTCTGATTGACAAAAATATCAAGAAAAGATATAAAACTGAACGAAAAGTATATAAGCAAGCTTCACAATATATCAAGTACAAACAAAACGTGAACGTTATGGCTATTGAGCCTTCGTCAGCACATACAAATAAAACAATACTACACAGATACACAAATTCACTTAGCTGGTATCTCGAAGCAGCCGGGTCTGTTGTTGTTCACCAGAATGACTGCACGTGTCGGCTGGGGGAAAACATACCCCCTGTAGAGTACCAGGGGCCATAACTGAGGGGTTGGAGATAAAACTGTGAGGGCAGTTCAATCCCCTAGGAGTTTACATAAAACTGTGTTGGCAATTCAGGCCGGAGGGTGTTAAAGTCCCCAGAGTATAAATAAAGCGATTCTCAAGAGATTTGCGGACTCTGTTGCTGGGATAGCTAGATTTAATGGCTGTCACCTCCATGTCGAGGACACCTTGGTGACCCTGATAGACAAAGCGCTACATTAATTTATATTCGCTCTTTATTGTTGACATACATGAGACACTCTTCTCACGCAAACTGCAAGTCCTTGAGGTGTCAATCTCACAGGCTAGAAGAGAACAACAATCTGCCATACCATGTAACATAAGTAAGATTTACTTGGCGGCCCAGATGGATTGTCCCGCAGCAGAACACTGCTATAGATCACTGAACCAGTAACCAGGTGACCTATTTCCCTAAACATGAAGGGCCAGAGGTTCCATCTATGCAGCAGCATTGGCAAGAAAATGTACTCTCGGAACTTTCAACATAGAACCAAACTCAGCTTGGACGGAACGTTGAAAGTGCAGCTTGTAGCTGAGCTTGGCAAATTTGCAATTGACGTTTTATATTTATGTGATTTTTGTTTTGTACTTGTGTTGTGCACACGCAGATTTGAACTCATGCTATGCACACGAAGTTTGTACTCACACTATGCCCATAAATTTGTGCTTTTATACTAAGCACACAAAGTTTTGCTCTGATGCTAAGCACACGAAGTTTTGTACCTGTGCAACGCCCACAAAGTTGGTTTTTTGAACTGATGCGAAGTATTGAACTGATGCTATGCACACGAAGTATTAAATTGATAGTATGAACACGAAGTTAGAAATGTTTGTTATGCACACGAAGTTTTGAACATATGCTATGCACACGGAATTTTCAACTGTTGCTATGGACGCTAACCGTTAACGTCTGCCTATGTGTGTCTTGTCAGAATCAGCGACGACATTGAGTTGATGTTGGGCAAACGGCCGTCCTATTTCTGGCTGATCTGTTGGCGGTATCTGATGCCTGTCGCTGTTGGGGTCATCTTTCTTTCCAGCGTCTTTGAGATCATTACACAGGGCATTGTCTACGAGGCCTGGGACCCAGAGAAGGTCATCATTACATTTATTATCTTTCTCATAATCTTCATCGTTGATGTTGTAGTCATTATTGTCAACATGATCCTCATCATTAACATCATAAGGGCTTTTCTTTTCTTACGTAGGCACTACAAACAGACAAAAACTGCATTTTATAAAATGAAAAACATTTTGTGCAATATATCCTTGTCATTGAGAGTTAGAAAAAGAATTCTTGCTTGCTACATACATCCAGTTTTAACATATGGATGTGAATCCTGGACAATCGGTAGGCAGGCCAAACAATTTTTAGAGGCCTCAGAGAGGTGGTTTTACAGAAGAATGCTTAGAATACCTTGGACAGCCAAATGGAGCAACCAAGAGGTTTTAAAAGAGGCGGGAGCCCGAAGACAACTTATTACAGACATCATTTTTCGGCCATGTTATGAGAAGAGGGAAAATAGAACATGTTGTGACCACTGGAAAGATCTGTGGAAAGAGGGATAGAGGAAGACAACGAGAGAAGTTGCTTGATAGTCTTGTTGCATGGCATGGAGGTGTGTCGGCACACGAACTGATACATGCTGCAGGAGATCGCGGATTATGGAGAGGCATGATCGCCCACGCCAGTCGGCAAGGCACCTGATGATGATGATGATGAGACACTACTGGCACCTGTTTTAGGCATCCATTTTGTGGTGTAATTGGCTCATAAACAGCACGCCGTCCCGAAAACTTGGGTATTCTGGCCACGTCAAAGGCTGTGTTGGCCTGGAGAGAATGAGATGGAGGGAGCAGTTTTCTGAAAAAGAGGCAGAGGCCAAACTCTGCAAAAGTGGATAAGGGACGATAAAGATACATTGGTAAGGAAAACACACAGGGCCGGAGAATTGGCTGGAGAAAGAGAGACATTCAGGCGTGCCGTGAAGAGAGCGACGTTCTGTGAAGGAAACACATGCTGATTAGTTGACCGACACCTTTTGTTTACACATTCTGTTCTGAGTACTAGTATTTTCATTTTCCCTAGAGGGGGAAAACCCGCCCTGATCCGTATCATTGTCCACACCGAAATTGCTATTAGCATTGTTGTGTCATTATCTAAAATCGTCACCATAGTCGTCATTGTAAGCATTATATAATTCGTGGGTTGCTGGGTTTCGAGGCATGGCGTCCGCCTGGAATTCTGTCACATGGACTTCTAGTAATTTTCCCTGGTCTCTGGGTAGTAAGATCAGATGCCCGTGTGTATTATTGCACACGTTAAAAAAATCCCTTGGCAGTTGAAAATAAAAAAGAGCAGCTTAACGGCGCTGCCATGGCAAAAATTTGAGTTGAAAATCTACCTAAAGTATTTCAGATCCTCACCGGTGTTACGGAGTTCATGCACTGCAATGAGATTTTTTCAGATTCAGGCTTGAGTCAGAAGTAGAACGGAGTACTTATGGGTTACCACCCTTGTGCCATAATGTTGATCCGTCGTCTAAACCTAAACCTATCATAATAATTATCATCATTCAAATCATCATCATCAGCTGTTATCCGGTCCAGAAACTAGAGGTAAATAATTTGTTTCTCCTAGTCTGGAGAATGGCATGTCACGTTATTTATACTCAGTGATTCAATGAGTATGGTCTGGAGGGTTCAGGCAGGTTCAGTGCGAAGACAATGGCTTGAATCATTACAGAAGTCCACTGTGCGTGGAGTCACCTTTATTTTTGTTCCGAGACACGCAGGCGTCGATGGAAATGAAAGAGCTGATAGGTTGGCTGGATCCGCTATCACTACCGACGGTCAGCCTATGGATCATGCTGATATTATTAATATGCTCGGGGAAATGGGAAGGATAGAGGACTTTGGGGGGCAGTGAATCCACATCACTCGCCAGAATGGCAGACTTAGGAATTAGGATCGGCATAGCAAAAAACGAGACGCACACCAGACGACTTGTTAATCAATATAGAACTGGTACTATTAGCCATCGGTCGTTGGGGTTCATACTGAGGGGAGGATCTGAGCACCTATGGACATGTCCGAAGTGCAATGATGATAACCCAACTAACTATTTATTACAAATTCGACACTCGGTTTACATGTCGAACTTAGCGAAGTGAACGTTGCTGCATGCTTACAACATTGTGCAGAAACTAATGTGTGAAAACTACAATTTACTAGTACTGTACTATGATACTATTGGCGTCTGTGGCTTAGGCGTTACGAAAGTGCTTCATAATGCCGCGGTGCCGGGTTCGAAATCAGCTCTGGACGATTCACTTTGCTTTGATTTCGACAGTGATACCAAGCGCTGAGTGTTCAGGAGCAATGGCAAACTAAAGAACAAAAAATTTGCCTAGAAATAGCACAACAGCCACAAAATGCTGGGACTGGTTCTGCAACGTCCTGTAAAGGATGCACAACTAAGTAACTGTTACACTAGCTGTGCACGCGTACTCTCAGAACTGAAGCGACGCAAGCCGGCTCTCTAGCGTAGTTGGCTAAACCGGATTGCGTGGAGACCGGGTGACGACTCCTTGTGGTCCGGGTTCAATCCCGGGGGTAGGCAGAAAAGCCACATTTCTCCCAGATTACGGTATTCACAATGGAATCCAGGCCGAAAGGTTGCGATATCCATAATACCGAGCCATAGGGTTAACAACACATGGCTTCTGGATACTAAAACAAACAAACGAACAAACAACAAACGAAGCGACGCAAAAATGTCACGTTTTGCCCGCTCTTATGTGATCGTTACCTGTTAACGCTGCTTACAAATGCAAATTGACCACCCCTCGCCGCGGCTGTCCAGACTGAATAATGTTACTGGAAGTGGTGTGACATTGCTGTTTTTGGACTGAATATTCATATATATAATTCACATCATTTGTTCATTATTCTGTTGTGCCATTATATGTATACAGGACTCGTAGTCTACTCCTCCATTCTGTTCTTTCCAGTTAAATATCATGGATGGAATCCAGTCCAGTAGCTTTGGCCTCTCTCGTCAACGTTCATTTTAGGGTTTCTTGTGGGCCTCCTCGTCTCGTTAATTCCTTTATTTCCAATTCAATGCTTGTTTGTTGATTTCATGTTGGTTTTTTCACAGGATCTGAGCAACCTTCTCTCTTATAACTTGATACTACTGACTGCCCAAACATTTTTTTTTTCTTCACTCCTTTTAATTTATCCCATAATTCACATCGTGTGTTCTGATTCCGAAACAGGGCGTCAACGTGCTCCTACCCTGGCCCTGGTGGTGTAAGATCTTGGCTGTTGTCCTGATTGTGACCTCGGTTGCCTGGATACCCGGAATGGCCGTCGCTCGCTGTCTGGGATTTACCGCTCTCAAGGAGGAGGAGCCGGCTTTCTTCCCTACGGAGGAGCTGAGAGATGAGCACGGAATCACTCCTCATAAAACTACTCGGTTTGAGAGGGTGGTTCTAGGGTTTCGAGAGTAGAAGTGGTGGTAATAAAGTTACTGTGTCGTTGCTGAGGCAGAAATGATTGTTATAGTTACAGTATAAAGTGAATGCATTCCAAACTACTAACCAGTATGGCGAGAAAGGATGGATCGATGCCAGATTTACTAAATGCATTACAACCTCAAATGTATAAATCCACGTCCCAGTATGTCAACATGTCCGTATCACTGCCAAGAAAACTCGAACTAGGAGTCTCCCCGTGTGAGTTCCTGACCCCATTGTGGAATAGACCTACTGGTCCCAAATAAGCATGTTGTAGGAGTCGATTAAAACTCAGGCCCTGGTACAAAGCTCAAATCCAAATGGACGAACAACCATGACTTTCCACCGGAGCCTGCAGCCGGTGAACATGGAAGAAGAAAACTAGGAGTAATGTCTGGCACAACCATGCACGAGAGGCACACCGGACGTAGGAGAAATCCAGTTAACCAGCATAAGTCTGTCACTATGAACTGTGGGTAATTTGTGGAGACTGGTTAGAATCCTGCGAAATGTTCTAGAAGATTCAACAGTGTCATTGATAGGTGAATACAGCTTTTCTTGTCAAAGTTCGTTGTTACGGGCGTGGTTGCTTTGTGGGGCAGTCACGGTATTGTTGGTGATGATGTTTAGATACGTGAGAACTACCCTCACAGAGGTACACATGTGTAGATATACTTTAGGCCTGTTCCAACATGTGCACATTGTTGCAAATGTCTGATTACTGTTATGCGTATTATATTCCTTGCTATAGTGTTTTACTCCTTATATGTATATGTTCTTCACGTTTTGAAAGAGACAAGATGTTGAAAACCTTTCAAAGAGACCACTTTTCGCAAACATCAGAAACAGACAGTCATTATTTTTTTTATAGTCTTATGAGAAGAAGGAAAATGGGATATTTTGTGACCACTGGAAAGTTCTGTGGGAAACAGACGGAGGGGGACAATGCGAACAGATTCTGGACTATCGTTTGTCATGGCGGGGAGGGGTGTTGGCACACGAACTAATACATGCTGGTGTCGATGACAGATTGTGGAAAGGCATGATCGCCCACGTCAGTCGGTAAGGCACTTGATGATGATGATTAAATACTTTCTTCTTCTTCTTCTGTTAATAATATAAGAATACGTCCCGGGTTTTTAGGCGCTAATTGTCTTAGTTTTGTTGTTGTTGTTGTTGATAATATTGAAATAAGCTTGAGAAAGAAACAAATATTTATATCTCTAGACTTTATGACATTTCATATGTGTGGATACTTTTAATGCATAAAATATGTTGATGGGAATGTTCATTGTATTTTAGCGGGGTTTTCAGAGCAGTTTTAAAGAGCGTATTGTTTCGGTTTTTTTTTTCTTTCTTGGTGACAATGGTTCGGGTTTTAAAAGTTTACCTTTTCACACCTGTGACCTAGACAACGCGGGTGTGAGTGCGGTTCAACGCTTTCTCTTTTAAAGAAATAGTCGGCCGTGGTGCGGTTATTTAAGGCTCCAGAAGGGCGTGCTTATCCGCCGCCCAAAGCCACGCCCACCTACCTCACTCTGACAGAAGCAACAAACCCCAGGCAGAAATGTAAATCGCCGCAACAGAAACGTAAATAACTGGAGAACAAAACTCCAGACAACAAAACGCCGCTTCGATATAACCAACGCTCAGTATAGGAGCCGGTTGAAAGAGGCAAGAAGTTTTTCGTTTTTTTTACCCACACCAGTTACCAGTTACCAGTGCTTATGCTTTGCTTGGGAAGTCCCGTTTTCAGCTCAAAATATTAATGGGACGTCCCATTTTCAGCTGAAAATATTAGTGGGATGTCCCGTTTTCGGTTCAAGATGTTATGGCCAGTCTGGCTATTTAGCCCTAATATAGCAAAAGCTTTCACTTAACTGTCATGGCCAAGTTATCATGGTTCAGTTCACGTTTCCCGGCCCATCTACACACTGCCTGACCTATCATTTCTATTTTCTCAGGCTCCTCTATGCCAAAATAGTGTCACGTTGTCTTGCCTCGCGTGTTCTATTTTACACCACGACGGTTGTTGTTGCAATCGACAATACAGATGTTTCGTCCTTTTTAGGACGAAACTTTTTGTTATTTAAATCCCCACCCTGGCTTTTGCCAGGGGCCGCAATATAGGCAGGCCATGATGTGGCCAATTGTCTGAACGCGGTTTCTGGGACCTTTCCACAGCGATCCTCATCCACATGGTGGCACTTTGTGTCATCGGGTGTTTATCGCTTGTGTGATGTCCTGGTGGGGTAGAAAGTCAGTCAGTCAGTTACTACACAACGACACAGCTTTTAACGACCCCAGAACATCCAGAACTGGCCCTAACACAAACCCCTCTACCCAAAGCCTGAACCTAAGTCACACGAGAGACTCCTTTCGAAGAAAGCAGTACAACCCCTCTGGCCTAGATCCAACTAAAAACGTGTGTAGATGGACCGTGAAACGCGAACAGGACCGTTATCATATTGTCTACCGTCACATGCAGCTCGACCCCCCCCCCCCCCCCCCTAGCTAGCTAAAACTTCGCTTGTCTTTATAAGACACAAAAGACTACATTGTACTGGGCACACCATGAAAGCAAAAATACGAACAGAGAATCAACAACCAGGCACTTAAAACTGAAACAAGGGAATTGAGGAAGGAAGGACAACTAAGAAAAACCCGAAAGTGAACGCGGATAAGAGAGGCCAAAGATACTGGGCAGGATAATCCATGTTTTCAAATGGGGAGCAAGGGATATAATGGGATAGAACTATCAACTGGTGTAAACTGGCAGAAAAGGATGGTGATATGAGACCTTTATCTATGTATGTCATTTTGCCTTCACTTATACCTTTTTATAATTAGATGCATTTTCTGTCAATCGATCACGTTGCCTGTCGTCCAGTCTGTCCTCTTCTCGGCGCGGATGTGTGTGTGTGTGTGTGTGAGAGAGAGAGAGAGAGAAAGAGAGAGAGACGCGAAGAATACCCAATGATGTGCAAGGTAATATATAAATCAGAACCTCGTGCAGTTAGGGCTTGTATTAAACTGACCACAATCATGCAGGTACTTTTACAGTGCTGATCTATCACAACATATTATCTGCTGACCTTTCTTCTATTTGTAGTCAAGATAACACTTATGTTGACCTTTCTATTGTGTATGGTCAAGATAACGCAGTTACTGACCTTTTTACTATTTCCGGTCAAGACAAAACACATGCTGACCTTTTTACTATTTGTGGTCAAGATAACACAGATGTTGACCTTTCCACTATTTCTGGTCAAGATAACTAGATGCTGGAGAGTGAGAGAGAGAAAAATCTCACAGAATAAAATCTGCAGCGATAAAGGAGATAAACCAATGTAATTTTTCTTCACTTTCAACACAGATAACAACTTCTGAAAGCTGGCCCGTCCTTTTGACCCAGACAGAAAACTGACATTTGACCCAAGCAGATACCTCTGAAAAACTAACTTTTCTTAACCTTTGACCTGGACAGAAACCTTTACAACAGACTTATCAAAATTGGGTAAACGTAACGTTAATCTCCCCCACGTCCCGCCTATAAACACAATAGGTCATTTCTGATTGGTAGTTCCTGAACTTGTCACCTTGCCACAAGGTTACGGGGATGTTCTGTGATGCCGTTGATATCGCGTGTTGTATATTTCAGCATGCTGGCGCTTTTAACGCTCCAAAAACATGGAAAACTGGCCCTAACACAACCCTCATACAAGACCGAATTCTGTGTATGAAATTATGTTCGTCGCTAGCATAAGAGGGGAGCTCTACTCTATGCTACAAGATGGTAACCTTTGACCTGAACCATAACATCCAATAGCTGACAACCTCTCTTAACTCTCGTAAGCTGCCAGCTTTCTCAAACATTACAGTTCAAAACTAACGAGCTTCCTGTTCTTCCATTTATTTAGTGCACATACTTGGCAACGTGCTGAAGTTATTAAAACCCCTGCTTCGTTACATCTCCGCCCCAATGGTTAGTTGCATATCCTTAACAGGACGTTGCAGAACCAACCTAAACAGCCCCTGGCTGTTGTGTGGTTTTTCTAGGCAAATTTACGTCTAGTAGTTTGCCATTGCTTCTGGACGGTCGGCTTTCTTGATACCACTGTCGAAACCAACGCAAGGCCCATGGCCCGCAGCTGGGATCGAACCCGGTATCCCGGCATTACGAAGCGTTCGCATCGACTTAGCCACAGAGCCGACTCCGCCCCAATATAGGACGCAGTTTTTAGTTAACTAAAGCCCCACTTCGGCTGCCTTAATTTAACCTAACGGTTGAACGGGGTTCCTGGGACTCATACCCGGGCAATTTCATCCAAAGGAAGGCACTTTGTGTCACAGGGTGTTTGTCGCTCGGTGCACCGATCTAGTGGGGTTAAACGTCAATTATAGTTGTGGCGCTGAATGAGTGAATTTCCTGTTGCTATAGATCTTGTAGATTGTAGGTCATATAGATCGCTCCCTCATAGACAGGGGCCGTAATTGTGTGTGTCCTTCTTTGTATATAGAAGAGATTAGATTAACACTTTTAGTGTTAACACATTTTTTATCCAAATATGCACTTTGATAGACAAGTTGTTACCATGCTTTTTGTTTCCTTTGTTTGTTTTTCTCAAATACAAAAATCATATAAGAACTATAAAATCCACTTCTGTTATCTATTGTAGTTTTGGTGATAAGTGTGCGAGAGAAGATGCTGCCTAGCCTATTCAGGCGTCTTTGGAAACGAGCAGGCAGATAGGTTTGCTGGACTGGTCCAACCTGGGGGAGTACTGCAACTGCACAAGGCAGGGGTGGTGGGGGGACAACCTAACAAAAAATGTTGAATTAGGAATCGACATCACAGCATTCGGGACACCCCCATAAGTGCTTCGTCCCCATCTTCAGCAGCAAGTGAAGGGTTCTCTCCAGATCGTAATGATCTATCTGTGCCTACGCACTGCTCAATCGCTCCTAAAGAGCCATCACAACATCCAGTTTGTCATACATCAGCGGTGCAGGCAAGTCTATCTGCCTGCTTATTTCCCAACACATCGGCAAGACCTGGAGAAAATATAAAGTAACAAGTACAAGATACTGAAAACCCATATGTGGAGAGAATGATGCAGTGGGGGAGTGTCTGTGGGCTCTGGGTGCCACCTGAGACAAGGGGAAGGTGTGTAAAACCAGTAGTTAAGAGTATCATCAGTAAAGAAACTGTTAGCTAACTCTTGAGGGAGGGAGACGGAGCTCATACGGGCTTGTCCTGAATGCTGGGATGTCGAATATTTACTCCAGCTTACAGAGAGCAGGCAATAGTGTGTGTGAGAGAGAGAGAGAGTTTTTCACTACAGCAAACAACATCAACGTATACGGCTCAGATCTTGCAAACACGCTTTTTTAATTCCAAAATGGATTCAGATGCAGGCGATGTGGCAGCAGACTGCTTTGGTTGAGAAGTTGACAGTGATGTGAGAGCCACAAAAGTTGTGGTTTCAAATCTGCAATGTAGCCGAATTTTTTTTTTTTTCTGTACATGATCTTGGCTCCTATGTCAGCCTAGAATAAAACAGGTACCAGGTAAAGTCCTGGGAAGTAATGGCAGCCGGCGTGAGGTTGACCACATCACCCATTAAGGTCTATAAAACTATGAGTCTAGCCTAACATGTCCGATGTGCCACGGGTGTTTAAAGTAATCGTTTACTTTTTTCTTTAAAACAAGCCAGATCAAATGGATGTGTATGCTTAAGTTCTGGAATAGGACTAAAGTTCGAAAGAGACAAACAACCAGACATTTCTGTTGGAGTTTACAGCTGATAAAGATTTGTGTGCAGACTGTTGGTTCCTCGCCTCTCAGGCAGACCACCTCCGACTTTGAAGGAAGCACTGATCCTATTTCGTTTCGAATCCGACTTGTAATTCCAACGTACAGCGATCGAAACCCACTGCTGCCTGCATGGATTTTTATCGTAGTATGGAGTGTTGCAGGTCGACCCAGCCTAAAATGGGTACCAGGATGTATGTCCTGGGAAAGTAAAGACGGCTGGCGTAATGCTGACCACTTTCCCCACCTAGTGCCCAATGGTCTGTAAAAATATGGGTGCTCTTTCCTAATGCCCGATGCGCCTAAAGGCGTGAAAAGGGATCTGTACTTGTTACTTTTCTTACTGATCCTCTTTACATTAGCCAGGTGCCAGGCTGAGAATCTGTTCCTAGGATGACCACGTAGAGATGTAGACAGAAAGTCTTGGCCAGCATGAGCACTGGTCCATCGCTTCAAAATTAATGAGTGGCTGAAAGGACGACTTGCAGGATGAACTAGATTTTAGTCAGGAAGTGTTGCAAGGACTGTCAATCTCTCTTTCACCGGAATCCATCCAAATCACACTTAGACATATGCATCTTATCTTAGCATTCACCAGCTGTAAACTGCAGCAGAAAGTTCTGCTTATTTATCCACTTCTGAACTTTAGTCTTGTTCCAGTACTGTTAGTTCCTCGCCTTTAGTTCCTCACCTTTAGTTCCTCGCCTTTAGTTCCTCACCTTTAGTTCCTCACCTCTTGGGCACATACATTCCAACTTCAAAGGAAGATGTATATGTAAAATCATAAACAATTACTTATGATAAAAATACAAACATGGGAAACTGTTTACTTGTATTCGCTTGGTGAGATGTGTGAAACACCCAACAGATCGGGAGCAGCTGAGGCAAAGACGAGACAAGCCACCAAATACAGTATAAAAATCAATCAACACTTTCAAAATAAATATACAATATGTAAGTTAAATCAAGTAAAGAGATCTAAGAGAGAATAAAACAGAGAGAGAAACAAAACTGAAAAGAAGAAAAACAAGTAAAAGTGGACTCAGACATTTTTACAGTTGGCAAAAACAGTATATAAAAAAAATAGCAATCGGCAATACCTAAAATCTATAGAAAATCGGTAAAACAACATAATAATGATGATAAATGAAGTTAAGCTAAACAGATAAACATTTTTGTTTAAAACAATGTTCAGAAAAATTTTAAACTATAAATAATGACCAATCAGTAACACCAGTCACAGTGATGGTGAAAAGATGGGTAGTCACCACAGAACAAGATAAGAGTTTGACAGAAAGCCATCATAGTACAGTGGTATCCTGACTAACAAACCATAATTGGTTTCTGACTGGTTTATATCTTGAAAAATTCATATGTAGAGCAAGCAGTTCATAAGTTAAGGTATCAGTGTACATGGTACAGTCATGACAATCATAACTGATGTTAAAGAGATAGGTGGCCACCACAAAACATGGTGGAGTTAGATAGCCACCACAGTACATGGTAGACTTAGACAGATAGCCACCACAGTACATGGTAGACTTAAACAGATAGCCACCACAGTACATGGTAGAGTTAGACAGTAACCACCAGAGTACATGGTAGAGTTAGACAGATAGCCACCACAGTACGCAGTAGAGTCAGACAGATAGCCACCACAGTACATGGTAGAGTTAGACAGAGAGCCATCACAGTACGTGGTAGAGTTAAGACAAATAGCCACCTCAGTACATGGTAGAGTTTGACAGAGAGCCATCACAGTACATGGTAGAGTTAAGACAGACAGCCACCACAGTACATGGTAGAGTTAAGACAGATAGCCACCACAGTACATGGTAGAGTTAAGACAGATAGCCACCACAGTATATGGTAGAGTTAGACAGATAGCCACCACAGTACATGGTAGAGTTAGACAGATAGCCACCACAGTACATGGTAGAGTTAGACAGATAGCCACCACAGTACACGGTAGAGTTAAGACAGACAGCCACCACAGTACACGGTAGAGTTTAGACAGATAGCCATCACAGTACACAGTAGAGTTAAGACAGACAGCCACCACAGTACATGGTAGAGTTAAGACAGACAGCCACCACAGTACACGGTAGAGTTAAGACAGACAGCCACCACAGTACACGGTAGAGTTAAGACAGACAGCCACCACAGTACATGGTAGAGTTAAGACAGACAGCCACCACAGTACACAGTAGAGTTTAGACAGATTGCCACCACAGTACATGGTAGAGTTAAGACAGACAGCCACCACAGTACATGGTAGAGTTAAGACAGATAGCCACCACAGTACATGGTAGAGTTAGACAGATAGCCACCACAGTACATGGTAGAGTTAGACAGATAGCCACCACGGTACATGGTAGAGTTAAGACAGATAGCCACCACAGTACATGGTAGAGTTAAGACAGACAGCCACCACAGTACACAGTAGAGTCAATACAATGAAAGCTGATGGTGAAGTTAGATAGAAGTACTGGCTAGCTACGAGTAAGGCCTATAGCGATAATTAGCAAAGTCACATAGTGACACAAGGCTGGCATACTTTATGCACAACACAAGAAAGTCACAAACTATTTTTTTTTTTTTACAGAATTAAAGAAAAAAAAAATCACTTTATCACTAAAGGAAAGAAACAAGAGAAACGGACAAAACTACAGAAATCTGGAGGAAGACTTCTTTGGTTAGGTCTGACTATTACTCCTTTCAAAATGAAAATAAAATTACTAGCGATTAGTCACATACTTATGTCAGTGTGATAAATATCCAAGATTCTCTGTTATATTTATGAGGTAGGCCGACGTGTTGTCTTCCACTTATTTCTTTTATAAAACAGAGAAAAGACAGGATCTGCTCACAGCTTCCAGTAAGATGACATCATCATGTGCCAAGATGAGCAGTGATCCATGATATTCTATCCTTAATATTCTTGATTCAGTTCTATTGTTTCTTGTCCCCTGTACCACTCCATCAACCTCATCCATCTGTCTTTCACATCCTGTACCTCTTCGACCTGTGAATACTCTTTTTCTGTACTTTATCCTCCAAAAGAGCACATCATCATCATTAAGTGCCTTGCCGATCAGAGTGGGCGATCATGCCCCTTCACAATCTGCGATCTTTAACAGCATCTATCAGTTTATGTGCTGACACGCCTCCAAGCCAGTTTTAAAAAAGCTGTCAAGATTTTCTTGCATTGCCTTCCTCTATAGCTTTTTTTTTCCCAACTGATCCTGCTAGTGGTCACAACATGTTCCAGTTTCATTCTGCTTATGATATGTTCGGAAAATGATTACTGTTTCTCTCTGATGTCTTTTATAACTTGTCTTTGAGCCTGTTGCCTCTTTCAAAACACCAGTGTTGTTCTTTTTAGCTGCAAGACATTGTCTGATATGTATATCACATGTCCAGGATTCACAATTCACAACAGACCATAGCTCCTCAAAACACTTGCACCAAGATATCCTATCTGATACCGCTACTCCTTGCCCTTTCCATTTTATTCATCTATCTCCTAATTCATTTCAAATTTTTTTTTGGTGGTGGGATGGAGGGTGTGTCTTTTATTTAAGTTTATCTTAAATTTATCCCTGTGGGTTTCTGTGTGTGAAAATTATAAACTTATTACCAGATTTTCTCAAAGTGTGCCCTGTCCAGCCAATCTCTTTTCCTCAGTTCTTCATTCAATGGAATGTGTTTACTTTTCCTCATTATTAGTGATTCTATCACACCACCATTTCATGCCTTCAATTCTGTACAGGGACCAGTTAATGAATACTTGCAGTTTCTGTGAATATTAGTTTGCTAGAAATATTGCTTAAATGAGATAACATAATCACATTTGTGACTTATTTTCAAAATCATTTTCCTAATGAAGTAATTATGATAACTGCTAATAAAAGAATAAATGAACGCATTTCATGAAATAAACAAGTGATATTTACAAATAAGCAGACAAGATACCAGAAGCCAATGTAAATCAAAGATGGCTACTCTTGAAAGGATCCTCAAGAGCATACATCACATGTCCCTGACTTTTGGCTTCTCAACCATGATTACTTTCAACAGCCAAACTGGGCCACTGTGGAACAAAGTAGGAAAACTCTTCTCAATATGCCCACCTCCCCCACAAATTGACTGTTAGTTGCCTCCCAGCTGCTGACCTTGACCCCAATCGTGTCTTCGCCAAAGCCCTCCTTCATTGCCGCCATCTTCTGGTCGTCTTCTGCTGGACGGAGCTTGGCCGAACCCTGACATGCCACCTTGGCGTCGAGGAAACAGGCGGTATCTGGAGAGGTTAATGTGTGTAAGAAGGTAAGTCATCCAAATATCAATATAAATAACAAAATATGAAACTCCTGACTAATGAACATACATAGATGCTGAACAGACATTCCGCATGTGGGTTCCGGTGCCCCATTGTGGGGGGGGGGGGTGAGGGGGGGGGGGGGGGAGGCGAGTAAACCACTGTCTCACTAACACGCATGTCATAAGAGTCAACTGATTAGGGGTGTAATTCAAAGTCAGCCTATGTCTAAGAGGCAAGGAACCAACAATCTGCTAACAAATAAACCAGATATTGGATGTTCTCGCAAAACAAGACTAAAGTTGAGAAGTGGACGAACAACCAGAATTGTCCACCAGAGTTTAGTCAGTGAATGCGAGGAAGGGGAAGAAGAAGAACAGACATGACTAAGCAGCAGCTGGCCGATAGTTAAGAATGCTGAGCTCTCATGCCGGAGACTCAGTTTCAAATCTTATATAACAGTGACTCTCAACCTCCCTAATGCCCCGATCCTTTAATACAGTTTCCCATACTGTGGTGACCCCCCAACCAACCAATTATTTGTGTTACTCCTTCATAACTTCAAAGAATATGTGTATTCCGATGGTCTTAGGCGACCCCTGTGAAAGGGTCATTAGACCCACACACAAAAAAGGGTTGCGAACCACAGGTTGAGAACCGCTGCTACATAATGTGTGTTATTTCTGGGGGAGGGAGGGAGGTAGATCGGGGTAAAAATAAAATCCTAGCATGCACATTCCATGGTGACTAAACTAGCCCAGCTGTCCTAACCCCCTCCCCCCCCCCCCCCCACCCATTTTCCCTCACAGAAGCGGTAAATACAGGCATTATGTTGATCTTACTGTTGACCTCTTACTAGTCTGTCTTTGTTGTTTCCATGCAGTATGGTTTTTTATAAGAATGTCATGAATTGCATTTCATCATCAGTTTCTTGTTATGCCTAGTGGCACATGAGGCTTCAGAGAGGACTTTCCATGCTTTCCTGTTCTGTGCAATCTTCAGTGCAGTTTTCCATGTCAAAGATGCCGCACTCAGGTCACTTTCCATCTTTCGTCTCCATGTTGTTTTTGGGGGCTCCTGTTTTCTCTTTCCTTCTAGTGTCCATGTGAGAGCTGTTTTGGCAAGTATATCAGGATTCATTCTCATAACGTGACCAATCCAGTTCCATTTTCTCTTGGTTATCATATTGTCTAAAGTTTCTTGGTTTGTGACTTGAAGTAGTTTAGTGTTTGAGATTGTATCTGGCCAGAAAATTTTGTAATTCTTCGTAGACATGTGTGGTGGAAGGTGGACAGCTTATGTGCATCCTTTTTGGTCATTCTCCAGCATTCCGCTCCATAAAGAAGAACTGGCAAAATAAGAATTGCATTTAGGCCAAAATATTCCATGTCTCCTTTTTATTTCTTTCATATGCTCTCATTTCACCCTCAGTCTCTTAAGATCATCTGTTCTGTTTTTGTATCCATGGAATATGGCCAGTTCTTCTGTATACCCACATCTCCAGTGCCTGAATTTCACTTATCTAACCGCTGGTTCACTGTCCAGGTTTACATAAACATTTGCAACTCACAGAAAGTTTGGAACCTTGAGAAGCTGGACACCACCAAAATCCTGCGGGTATTTGAACATGAGGAAGAAGTAGAGATGGCCCACGACTATCCCAAACAGCTCCATCATACCACTGCAGGAAGACAAAGATACAATCAAAATCACAATGATACCTAATGGCTATGCATCATCTATTTCTGGAATTAATATCATCATTACCTATAAAAACTGTTTAACTCTTTCAGTCTCAAGCCTAGTTTACTTCTTTTCTTCTCCACATTCACCGGCTGTAAACTGCAATGGGAAAGTTCTGGTTGTTCATCCACTTCCGGACTTTTGCCTTGTTCCAGAGCTGGAGTTTTGAATGTATATCTATTTTAAAGATCTGGCTCATTTGTACGCAGACTGTTGGTTCCTCGCTTTAAGGCAGATGTACTTTGACTTTGGAGGAGTCTAGTTTACATTAACTGTTTTTAATTGTACAGAGATAAACTTTAAAAACAATACTTGTTCAGATTTGAAGAAGTTCAACAGAGACACAATGGGATAGAGGTAAATAGTAACAATAAAAGGTAAAGACCCTTTTCAAACCTTCAAATGTATTGGGCATATAGGGCTAGACCTATATTTTATAGATCAGTCAGCATTGGGTGGGTGATGTGATCAACATCACGCCGACCGCCTTCACTTCCCAGGACTATACCCGGTACCCACTCAAGGCTGGGTCGACCTGGGAGTGAAGGTCATTTCTGAAAATAGTCCAACTCTGTCAGGGCCTGAACTCACAACCTTCCAAACCACAGGTGAGCGCCTAGCCACTACACTATGACGGCTCCCTGATAAAGGTAGCTGAACTAATAATTCAGAAACAAAGGGTTACAATAACATCTCTGTGATATAAGGCAGCAACAACAAAATATCTTTGGAATGACCAAGAAATATATGGTGCTTTGTTTGATACTGAGAGGGTTAAAAGTTATGATTTACTGCTAGAGTTATGTGCCTCTGGGACACATGGCCAAAGTTTTCTGACCCAAAAAAAAACACACAAATGACTTAAGCCTGCAGAGAAAACAAAAGCCTGGCTATGACCCAAGTCAATGCAGATGTGTTGTATTGAATCAAAACTTGTTACAAAATGTTGAATGTTGAACTGGCATTAAAGCACTTGGGTCACTCCCATATGTGCTCTGTCACAATCTTCAGCAGCAAGCAAAGAGTTCCAATTATGACAGCACCAGTAACTGATTGAATATCTGTCTGAGCATCAGCCAGACCCCCTGGTAACTTCTCACAGCACCATTCTCCTGTGACTGTAATGATCTATCTATGCCTCTGCACTGTTCCCTCGCTCCCAATGGGCTCTTACAAAACCGAGCTTGTCATACCTCAATTCACCACCAAGTTCTGCAGAACCGGCATGAATTTGGAGGAAATATCCAGAGGATGCGAACTACCTGGGACCTCTGATGTGAAGCTTCACTTGACTCCAGGCTCCCTCTCTCCTATTTGTGTGCCTTCTTCTCGCTCCATTTTCTTGATTTCTCCTCTTAGCACTTTTTTTCTATTGCCACCTGAAGATGGTGGTATCAAGCATAGAGCACGCACTCCTTAGCTCCGGTGATGATTCTTTTTGTTATTAATTACAAAAACCATTGTTACAAAAGAAGTAAAAGACTAGTGGCGTATCAAGCACATTGAGCTACAATCAAAATAAATTTTATAGCCCAATAGGTGTTCGGAGACTGATGTGGTCAACATCACCCTGAGTGCCTTTACTTCCCATGTCCCATTTTAGGCTGTGGAGACATGGAAGCCAAGGTCATTTTTGACCCCACAAAAAATCCAGCTTGATGTGGACTTAGCCAGAGGTCTGCCAACAGCAAGCAAGCATCCAGCCGCTACTCTATCGCAGCTCCCGATCCTGACTTGGTTAAATCCTAATATATTTCACTAGATTAAATGCTAGTACTGGTCTTGCACACCCTGCTTGCTGCAGAGTTTGGAGAGGGGAAATAAAGATCTGCAGCCTAGTCCCTGTGAAGATGACACTTTAAGGGCTAGGCTGGGAGGCAAGTCTCTATACATATCCCACTCCAAAGGGTGAAAATAGATTCAAACTCATGCCCTCAAAATGATGCCATTATCTTTAAAAATTTCTTCTGTCCCACTGCTTATGCTGCAATATCAGAGAGTAGTTAGATGTAATGTTGTGTCTTCTGCTAGTTCTATAGCTTGTGTTAATGTCATACTACATTTACGTAGTGTTAATTTTACTCCATTCAACCATCTATTTCTTAGCTGGCCTCGTGTAGCCTGTTGTTCTCAGGTAGATCGCTCTAGTTCCTGGCTGATTTTCTTTAATTCTGATTAGATGACCAAATCATTTTATGTTCTATCAAATCATTGACCTAAATGATGAAGCAGATTACAATCTAGTATGCCCAAAGGTTTTACATGTTTGTCTGTTGTCTAATGTGCCATGTGCTGCCTTCCCGCTCCCTGATTGACAATCAAAACCAACACAGCAATCTGATGAATGTGATGGCCTCAGTCTATTACTGTTGTCACTGAATTTATGAGCAAGTTTTGGGGCAGAGGCATGGTCACCCATGCCAGTCTGCATAAATACAGTTTAAAAAAAAAATATAACCTCATTCCATGACTTAAAGTGCATTAAGAATCTGCTGACAGTCCAGCTTGTATAAAACTTTCCCTATGGTGGTTCCGCTGCCCCATTCTGGGGGCAAACAGATCCACTGACTCGCTAACAAGCGTGTAAAAGTCAGCTAACTATGGATGTTCCCTTTAAAGTCGGAGTACCTCTGCTTGAGAGGTGAGGAGCTTACCTTTTGTTGACAGACAAGCCAGATCTGTAAATGGATACGCACACAAAGCTCAAGTTCTGGAATATGACTAACATCCAGAAGTGGACAAACAACCAGAACTTTCCGCTGGAGTTTAGAGCCAGCGAACACAAAAAAGATGAAGTACGAAACTCTAAAATAATAATAAGCTTCACAAAATAAATACAAAAATTACAATAAAAAACCCCAATGAGATTCATATAATCTGGCTTCTAAATATACCAGCTGGAATATGAAAAAACCTGCTCACCCACTTCCAATGATGAGGTTGAAACCAAACAGCACCCAGGGTAAATACATGGCCTATGGGACAAAAGAATCAGGAAATTACATAAACACGTGTGAAAACAACAAAGGTATTTAATTAGCTTGGTTTCAAATGAAAATCTTAAAAGTTTGATAGGCATTACAATAACTATGCCATCGTCTTCCTATTGCACTCATACAGTTGCTGGACTGACAGACATTACACTGACCATGCCATCGTCTTCCTATTGCAGTCATACACTCTGCTGGACTGACAGGAATTACAATAACCATGCCATCATCTTCCTATTGCACTCATTCACTCTGCTGGACTGACAGGCATGCATCACTACACTAGACCTTCATTCTCCGATGAATGTCTACAGTAGCGGTTCTTAACCCTGTGGGTCATGACCCCTTTTGTGGTTCAAACGATCCTTTCACAAGGGTCGTCTAAGACCATAAAAAAACACATAGTGATTGAAGTTATAAAGCAGCAACAAAAATAACCGTATGGTTGGGGGTCACCACAACATGGTGAACTATATTAAAGGGTCACCACAACATGAGGAACTGTATTAAAGGGTTGCCACAACATGAGGAACTGTATTAAAGGGTTGCCACAACATGAGGAACTGTATTAAAGGGTTGCCACAACATGGTGAACTATATTAAAGGGTTGCCACGAAATGAGGAACTGTATTAAAGGGTTGCCACAACATGAGGAACTGTATTAAAGGGTTGCCACAACATGAGGAACTGTATTAAAGGGTTGCCACAACATGAGGAACTGTATTAAACGGTCGCAGCTTTAGAAATGTTGAGAGCCACTAGTCTACAGGTTTCATCCCTTCATGATAAAAAAAAAACACCAGATAAAAGTTTGCTGATTCTTTTTTGTGCATGTCAAAAGTGAGGTGGCCATTTTAAAACTGTGTTCACCTACACTGTAATGTCATGTGCTTAAATTGTGAGGGCCCTTTGGGAGCGAGGAGGCACAAACAGATCATTACAGTCTGAGAAGAATGGCGCTGTGAGGAGTTACCAGGTATCCGGTCGACGCTCAATACTCAAGGGAAAAGCGAGACAAATGTACAATCAGGCAGTTACTGGTACCATCGAAACTGGAACTCTAAGACAAAGACTACAAAGAGTTAATAAACTATTCGATGCTAATGTTGAGTGTTGAAAATGCTGAATTAAGAATCGACATCACAGCACTTAGGACACTCCCAAATGTATCCACGAGTTACATTAACCAACTCCATCCCAGTTGTTACTTTTTAACTTCTTGTGTTTGGTTTTGCTGTTACTTAACTGCTCTTGACTTCCAGATGTATTGGCTTCAGGTGAAAACCTCACCGGACAGGATGAGCGTAGTAAGCTACCTAGGACTGACAGAGTTGAGGACCTTACCTAAACAAATTAATTTTTGTTTCACAAACAATGTTCATCGGAGACCGGGTCGCCTTTTGGCTGGCCGGTAGACAACTTCATCGCCGGTCAGGACAGTATTTGGGTCTGTCTTCTCTGATCGCATCAACACTGCAGGAGACCATTTCAGGGCTTTTGGTGGCGTGCAATGCTAAGTCATTTTATAGGGCACACATAACCAGGTCACAATTATAACCAAAAGCTCCCCCTTTAAGGATGCTGGTTGAACGTGACGATTGTTTTCCAGCAAAACAAGTTAAGAACAACAATGTTAAATATGGATGAACTGACCTTGAACCTAGTTCCAAACCAGAATGAGACAATCTGGTCCTTATTGAGCTGGCACCAGATGTAAAGAACACTCAGCACCAGTGGATCCATGAGAAGCTGTTTGGGCACACATTGTTCAACAATTAGCTGGATCATTCTCAATCAATTTAATACACTTTTTTTTTTTCAAGTAACTATTTCATCATCTTGAAGTACCATGCCTCTTCCCAATCTATGATCTACAAGTACATGTCACGATTTACTGGGAAAAATACAGCAGTGCTTTCCCCTAACTATTTCCTAATTAATAAGGTCTAACGGTGTCTCGAAAACAATAAAACAAGGCTCAGTAGTGGGGAAGAGGAGAAGAGGCAGACCAAGAAAGAGCTGAATACAGAACTAGATTGACTAGACAGGCCTTAGGTATGCATCCATGCAGTCCATTGCATCTGACTGCCAAAGGTGAGGGGGAGTTGATCAGTCAGCAGCAACTGGTGATCCAGCAACATGCATTGTTACGGGATGGCAATGATGATTTACCACTGTTTAGGGCAATGTGTGAAGTGGTCAAGCCGTCTGCCTCGCATCTGAAAGTCATGGCTTCTTTTAACGGCTGCACCGTTCAGTTAATGAGTACAGTTTTTACACAGATCCCTGGGGATCATCACCGGAGCTACGGAGTTCATGCTCTAGGCAGGTGGCTAGCCGTTCTGCTAAGAGGGACTGAGCTGTATGGGATAAAACCTGGTGCTATGAAGTCTACCCTCTCGACTTTAAGGGCAGTGAAGGACAACTAAGTCTGGAGCTGGAAGATTTAAGGCAGGAAATAATGCAAATAGTACTGGGCTAATAATAAACAATATCTCTACTGTTTCCAAGAGTAGATTTTCTTCTTCTTCTTCGCATTCTTCGGCTGTAAACTCCAGCAGAAAGTTCTGGTTGTGCTTATACCTCTGACTTAAGACTTGTTCCAGAACCTTAGGGTTGCCAGCACATCTGTTTTAAAGATCTGACTTATTTGTATGCAGGCTGTTGTCTCCTTACCTCTCAGGCAGATGCACTCTGACTTCGAAGGAAGAAGTCCTCAGTTAGCTGACTCTTGCAGCAAGCTTTTTGGGGAGGCAGTGGGTCTATTCTTGTTCCCCCCCCCCCCCACAATGGGGCCCTGGGACCCACACAGGAACAAGCCTAGATGAAAGTAGAAGTGTTTGGCATTCGGCCAGCTCTCCCAGCCTGTAAAGACAATAGGCTTCAGAAGCTCTTTGAATGGAAAGCCACTGCAGCGAAATAACCAGCCAACTGGTGTGCTGGCACTGACTGCACCAATGACATTTGCTGATGAAGGCTCTTCTCTGGAAGTCAGTCAGTGGCTAGATTTGCACACTACCTGGCTTAACATGAAATACTCAGACTTCTTTCTGCAGTGTTCGCACCGTGGCTCAAACAACGATTAGAATGAAATGTCCGCACTGTGGCTAAAACCATGGATAGAACGGAATGTCCGCACCGTAGCTCAAACAATGGATAGAACAAAATGTCCGCATCGTGGCTCAAACAATGGATAGAACAGAATGGAAGAATGCTCTGCAAGCCCAATGTGAGGTACAATGGCTTAACATGATCAAACAATGGATAGAACAGAATGGAAGAATGCTCTGCAAGCCCAATGTGAGGTACAATGGCTTAACATGATAATGATACTAAATAATATCTCAATTTCCTTGTGTAGGTTCCAGGGCACAATTGTGGGTAGAAAATAAAAGTAACAGACCTTTTGCTACCAACAGTCTGTGTACAAATAAGGCAGATCTATAAAACAGATCTTCACACAAAAGGCAAGTTTTGGAAGAAGACTAAAGTCCAGAAGTTAATGAACAACAACTTTCTGCCAAAATTTACAGCCGGGGAAAGTGAAGTAGAATATCTCAACCAAAACTGTCAAATCATGTAGTGCCTGCTTGGCCTCCACTCAATCAAGGACCCCCCCCCCCCCCCCCCCTTCCTCCCACTTTTCAACATCACCCCTTCCCATATAAAAACCTTCATCAAATCAAACAATGAAATTTTTCGTTATTTGAAGCACCACCCGGGCTTTTGCCAGGGGCCCTGAATATAGTTGGGCCACAATTGTGACCATAACGGCCGAAAGGGGTTTCTGGGACCTCACCATGGGTGATCCTCATCTGCATGGTGGCACTTTGTGTCACCGGATGTTTATCACTTTTGTGATGTCCTAGTAGGGTACAACAAGCAAGCAAACAAAGCATTCATAAATAGATACTTACAGGCAGATCGGAGACAAACCCGATTATCTGATCATTAATTTAAGGAATTTATAAGGACACCAAAATGGTATCTGCACACACAAAACTTACACTGACCAACAGGGAGCCGATCACCCATTTCCTCCGTTTCAACAGGACATTTACCAAAATTTTCTAATTTTAGTTTTGATTTCTAATTCTTATAATTTCCCTCCAATCCAGCTATTTATGTGATTCTTTTCCTTCTGCCTTCATCCCTGAAAGGGTGGTCGGTGCACTGAGTTGTGTTTTATAGATAGGCTGCAAGGTCTGCACTACCCAACACACCCACTTTCAGCACATCAGTCAGCTCTGACAACATGCTTGTTGGGGGAAGTGGGTCTCTTCTGCTGCCCTATGAAATATTGGACCACGGAACCCACAAGGTAGAATGTCATGTGCTAATAAACTTATTCTTATGCAGATAATGTGGTGGCTTCCTGGTGAATTCTTTATTATCAGCTGCAAAACGTAGTCTCTTCTGCTTCTTCTTCTTCACGTTTACCATCTGTAAACTCTGGTGAAAAGTTCTGGATGTTCGTCCACCTTCAGACTTTAGTCTTGTTCCAGAATCTGTGTGTTGTTGAACATCCATTTCACAGATTCTGGCTTAATTGTGTGCAGACTCTTAGCTCCTTGCCTCTCAGGCAGACATACTCTAGACTTCGAAGGATGCCCCAAGTTAGTCGACTCCTTCAACATGCTTGTTTGGGGAGGCAGTGGGTCTATTCTTGCCTTTCCCACAATAAGGCCCTTGGACACACATGCTGATGAAACCTGGTTGGACTGGACACATTAAAATCTCATCCGTTTACAAAGACATTTCTATATTTATTTGTTTTCTTTCATGTGATATTAACATTAAAGAAGGTGACCAACCACATATCTTTGATGCAAGTCACTCACAATTTTTTTTTTTTACATTCATACAAGAACAAAGCAAGTCTCAGTGCTCACAACAATAACATAACAAGTATTTCCAACTAAGCAGCCGTCAAGGATACCACAAGACAGATCCAGTTAAACAGCAGCATGAAAGCGTAATCAGCTGGTGATCCTGCGAAGGCATCTGAAACCAGAAATGCAAACCAAAATTGAAGACATGATTAAATGCGGCCTCCCCCCAAAAATATGTTCCTAAAAAGTAATCAAACAGACTTCTAAGCTTCTGCTGGTTGTAAACTTCAGGCGGAAGTTCTGGCAGTAAGTCTGGACTTTTGTCGTGTTTCAGAACTTGACATTTGCATGCACATCCATTTTATAGATCTGTTATTTGTATGCAGACTGTTGGATCCTTGCCATTCATACAGATGCATTCCAACTTTGAAGGAAAATAATACTAAAAATAAATCGGATTTTTAAAATGTTAATGGGAATGTTAATAAAATGTAAAAAATAATAAAACAAAGTTATTTATAGAATAAAAAATATTAATGCAATAATCAATATAAGGCTATCTTCCGAATAACGGTCTCAAATTATCGAGACCGAAAATATACCCTAAAAGGGCCTCATGTGACTGAGGCTTTATTAGGGTATATTTTCGGCCTCTATAATTTAGGACCGTTATTCGAAAGATAGCCCAATATAATATTCCTGCAATGAAATGCAACAAACTGCAGGAGCATTCACATCTTTAACTTCCCTGTGTCGGTCTGGGGGTCCGACTTTTGGGAACATGAATAGACCGACTGCCTTTCCAACAGGCATGCTCTAGGAGTCGACTCTTTGGGGGTTTCCTTCCAAGCCGTGCATCTGCCGAGGGTCAAGGAACAACCAACTGCACACAAATAAGCCAGTAAAATGGATGTACATCCAAAACTAAGGCCCTGGCACAAAGCCCAAGTTCAAATGGACGAACAACCAGAACTTTCCTCTAGACCTCAAAGCCAGAGAACAAAGAAGAAGAGGAAGAAGATAACTTTAACATTAAGTAAGAGAATATAACAATCAGGAATGTAACAAATGTTTCAACACTGGTTGCAAAATATTTTAGCAATTATCAGTTACAACTGACAGTTAGATGTGTTATTTACTCTCTAAATAACACAAGGTTCTTATACTGTTAAGCAGTACGCATATATTTTTTGGCCCTGATACTTCTACATTAGTCTGTTGCCTGTCTGCCATGATATAGTAATACTAGTCTGTTATCACTGGCAAATAAACAGCTTCCTGTCTCGGAAGCAGAAATATTTTGGTCATTTCAAGTGCCATGACGGACTGGAAAAAAATTATAGCACAAGGCATGGTACCGGGAAGGAGGGGCAGGGGCAGACCAACACGAAGATGGGTACAGGATAAAAGTGACTCCTTGAGTATGAAAGAACATGAGGCGGAAGAGCTGGCGAGAGACCGAGTTTCTTTCTGTCAGACTGTGATAAGAGCGACGTTCTGCAAAGGACCTGCTACATGATGATGATGATGAGTCTGTTACCTGTCTGCTATGATACAGTTACAATAGTCTGTTACCTGTCTGTCATGATACAGTAACATTAGTCTGTTACCTGTCTGCCATGATACAGTTACAATAGTCTGTTACCTGTCTGCCATGATACAGTTACATTGTTACCTGTCTGCCATGATACAGCTACATTAGTCTGTTACCTGTCTGCCATGATACAGTTACAATAGTCTGTTACCTGTCTGCCATGATATAGTTACATTAGTCTGTTACTTGTCTGTCATGATACAGTTACATTAGTCTGTTACTTGTCTGTCGTGATAAAGTTACATTAGTCTGTTACATGTCTGCTATGATGCAGTTATACTAGTCTGTTACCTGTCTGCCATGATACAGTTACAATAGTCTGTTACTTGTCTGTCATGATACAGTTACATTAGTCTGTTACTTGTCTGTCATGATAAAGTTACATTAGTCTGTTACCTGTCTGCCTTGATAAAGTTACATTAGTCTGTTACCTGTCTGTCATGATAAAGTTATATGTCTGCCATGATATAGTTACACTTGTTCGTTACAATATTGGTGTTAAATTAGTCTGTTATAATACTGTTTCACCAGTTTATTAAAATATTGTTGTTACACCAATGTGTTACAAAACTGTTACAACAATCTGTTACCTGTTTCCAGCCGCGTTGAATATGAGTATAAAAAGTACAGGTTCATCAAGAAGTGGAAGCCTTTGGGCCCAGAAATAGGGTAGTATAATGCTGCTGTTATTGGACGCCATAACTGTTGTGAGATGAACAAAGAAATAAGAAGTACGATCAAATGTTTCACACACATAAATATGGTTTCGTCTTCTGTGTTCACCCTTAAAAGGGCAGTTGTGGTTTACAGCTCAGCAGCAACATCTGTATCTTCCAACTAAACAAGTCTGATTTCAGCAAAGCCATAATTAGTCACATATTGCTTGTTGGGGAAGAAGTTGACCCCACCCCCCCCCCCACCCCTTTTTTTTTTCCAAAATGTGGCCATGGAACTCATATGGGGAAACTCATATTCATGATATCTTTTTCTTCTTCTTCTTCTTCTTTTTCACATTCACCAGCTGTAAACTCTGACGGAAAGTTCTGGTTGTTCATCCACTTTTGGACTGCAGTCCTGTTAAAAAACCTGAGTGTTGCGAGTGCATCCATTTTACAGATCTGACTGATTTGCATGCAGACTGCTGGTTCCTTGCCTCTCAGGCAGATGCACTCCGACTTTGAAAGAAGCTCCCAATTAGTCGACTCTTACGGCATGCTTTTGGGTAGGCAGTGGGTCTATTCTTGTTTTCCCTATAATAGGGCCCCAGAACCCACACTGGGATATATTCATGGTATGAATATCAGTACCTTTACCATAAGATAAGCCCATCTCTCTAGCGTAGTTGGCTAAACCGGATTGCGCGGTGAGCGGGTGATGAACTCCTCGTGGTCCGGGTTCACTCCCGGGGGTGGGCAGAAAAGCCACATTTCTCCCAGATTTACGGTATTTAAAATGGAATCAAGGCCGAAAGGTTGCGATATCCATAATACCGAGTCTAAGGGTTAACAACTCATGGCTTCTGGATACTAAAACAAAAACCATAAGATAAATTATTTAATTTTTTTTACTTGTAGAGATCCACATAGCTGCATGAGCCAGGAAAAGGGAAAAGATACAACCTCTCAGCTATCTGTCCCTTTTCTCTCGTCTTGTACACATTTTCTTCTTCTTCTCACTGCTCATCAGCTGTAAACTCAAGCAGAACATTGTGGTTGTTCGTCCACTTCTGGACTATGGTCTTGTTCTAGAAGTTTTGCATGCACATCCATTTTACAGATCTGGCATATTTGTATGCAGACTGTTAGTTTCTCGCCTCTCTTTATTACAGCTGAATAATTAAAAATACAGATCTGAACATGACCACATCGATAGCACAGATAAGCTAGGGAAGAAATGTGCAGACCAAAATTTGAACACACATTAGAACAACATACATTCAGTACATGCTTTCGCTGATGGGTTTTAATGACTATATTCTTCTTCTTCAGCATTCCGTACCCTTGAGGTTCATTGCTGCAGATATCACCCGCCGGCTATCCTCCGAATAACGGCCACATATTATGGCTGCCAAAAACACACCCTGAGAGAGCCTCATCAGGTCATGTGTTGTAAACATTCCTAAAACTTGAACTCGAAAATAATAAGGAACGAAAATAAAAGGAAAATCAAATCGACTACTTACAGATAATTTTACGCCTTCATATGTGGAAATTGTGGCACAGAAGTTGCAAATAGTGCCCAAAAATCTGCTTTTTGTGGCAGTGATGCCATTGAAACTTGGCTAAATATGATTGGAACAAGGCGCAGCTAGTGCCGGATTGGTCCGCACGCTGCAGCGAGTATTACATCAACGACAGCGCCACAAGTATCTATCGGAACAGTCCTGTTGCAGAATTAACGACATAGGTCGTTGGCAGGAAGAACATACCTGCGCGTTCCATATTAGCCTGTGTGTAGCTAGCTACTGCAACCACTGCAGGTTATCCGTCATTAAAACATACAAGTCGACAGGTCTCACATCTACACCTGACAGTTCCTGAACGGAAAGAACAGTTTCGCTAAGCTGCATACGAAGCCATGGTCTGCCTGCCATCCTCCAAAGAATAATGGTCGCAAATTATGGCAGAAAAAAACATAGCATAACGGGGGTCACTCACATGTAACTTGCCAACATCCTCTGACGAACATACCGCCACCGCCTAGAGTGTCCACCGCGCCGCGGATGGAGCTAAACTAGATGGCTGGGACCCCTGAGCAAATAAAATGAGGAAGCTGAACGAGATGTGGTAACTGCTGCTCGTGGGTCCTTGCCATCTTAGTTTAGCTCCATACGCGCCGCTCGTAGCGGCATGGGAAAGACTCGGCGGCGACTTAAAGTCAGCGGTTTGTTCCATTTCTTGAATTTGTCAACAGACACTAATCCTAGTTTTGCCGTGATCTGTTCATCAGAGGAGTCCGCAATTTAAATATGACTGAGGTTCTGTCAGGGTGTGTTTTTGGCCGCTATTCGGAGGACTGCTCATCCGCCTCCATTTATCTCTCTAGTTGACCTTCTCTATCCAGTTGGTGACACCAAATGTTTGCAGGTCTGTCTTGACATTATCTCTCCATCGTCTTCTTGGTCTGCCATGTGGTCTACGACCATTCATCTCTCTTGTGTATACAGTTTCAACTTCTCTGTCATCTGACCATTTCAGTCTATTAACTCTCATGAAGCCAGTGATCAATGGTTATTTAAATGAATTCTGAATTTTGTTGTTGCTTCTCACTCTCCATTCCCCACTGTTAGCATCTTTGTTAGGTCCAAAAATTCATCATAAGACTGTTTTTAAAAAGCTGTAATAAGGCTTTATCTCTTTTAGTTCTGCTCTATTGTTGCTAATAATTGTTTGTGACCTATATATAGCTTTCCTATCAGGTTTAGTCACTGTTCATATGTCATTATTTTGTAATTATCCAGGTGTAGTTGTGAACGATTTTCCCCCATCCTTGTGTATATTTGTGAAGTTGACATTAAAATATTTAGTTTGTTTTTAATTTGACTCCACTTTTTGTCATATCAGATATCATATTTTATAATTTATCTAGACATATATAAATTTAAGATTTTGTTGTATAGTAAAAGTGTGTTCTGATCACTGTAACCAATCACTGTAGTGACCTTACTGAGGCGTCTCCCAAGTTCTGTTTGGCTTCTGCTACGATTCCTATTCTATATTCAACGTCATAGCCATAAAAAATTGTTATAATTGTTTTTATAATTATATCATATAGATAATAAATTATGTTTATTTAAATGATATCACTTGAAATCTATAGAAGAACTACTTAAAATACTTGGAAAATTACCTGAAATTTGTAGAAAAAGTGATTAAAATCAAGGATGAACCACTGGGGGTGAAGTATTCCCAAACGCCCGATCAGCGGCACTACGATAGAGCCTGTAAACCAGTACTTGGTGATCTGGGGTATGCTTCGGTACCAGTCGCCGATATCGTTAGATGCCATACTGTTTGATCGTTCATGCAACCGTTTGTGAGGAAGATACCGCGAATATTTCCGCAGGTAGCAAAACTAAACTGACGTGGCCTTCTGCTAGGCGATGTTTCTAGTCAATAGCAACAGGAAAGAGAAATCTTCACTGCGTGAAGTTTGACATGGTGGAACATGATAGGGCGACTTTGAAATACACTTGCCACTTAATGGGGAAGCCGTGTCGTGGCTTATGCAATGTCTCTTGGCTGGAAACATTGAATAGTTGTAAATAACATATTTCACATGGGTGACGTTCTGTCTGAAGCAAGAATTTTTTTCCCTTGAGGGTCAACACACCAGCTGCTACAACTTTCTTTTCTTTCTTCTTGTTGGTGTTGGTGTTTGTCCCCTCCCAAATTTATAAACTGCATAAAACCCATTCAACCATACAGTTATACAGCAAGGATATGTTCGGTCACCATACAGCTGTTACGAAGAAACCTGTAGTCCAGTATGATGGGATTTTGTATATGCTCATTTTACCAATCATGTTAACATTGGCTTTCTACCAGGTTCTATGGTCACTTCCAATTGCATATTTCTTTCCAAGCTGGTCATCTATTATTAGCTCTTCTGCATTGTTCACATGCTTCCAAAAGTCCTTTACAGATACCTTGTATACATCAGTTCACCACCTAGTTGTGCCAAACCAATCTGTCTGCTTATTCATTTCCCAGTACCTCCGCATGCTATAAAGGAAAGATCCAAGGTACGCTCACTTTTCTCGACCTCTGAAAGGTAAAATATCACTCTGTACTCAACATGCGTGACCTTATCTTTTAATGTTTTGAGTCTGCTATAATCATGACATGGGTGTCCAGCTGATTCTAAAACCAGCGAAAAGCTGCAGCGATCGCCTTCCCCTCTGATTCCATTCTCAAACTATTTGCTGTATTATAAAATCATTGATTTTGTCATGAATGCCCAGCCACTTCTTCGTCCTTAAGCTTGTAGGTTCCGTGGTCCTATTATGGTGGAAAACAAGAATATATTCGCTGCCTACCCAAAAGCATGCCGTAAGAGTCGACTAATTAGGAGCTTCCTTCGAAGTCGTAGTGCATCTGCCTGAGAGGCAAGGAACAAAGAGTACATATAAATGAGTCGTATCTGTAAAACAGATGGTCACACAACAGGTTCTGGAACAGAAGTCCAGAAGTGGACGAACAACCAGACTCAGCGCTGAGTTTACAGCTGGTGGTCACTCAGAAGAAGAAAAAGAAGAAGAAGAAGAAGAAGAAGAAGAAGAAAAAGAAGAAGAAGAAAGAGAAGGAAGAAGAAGAACTGGCAGAAGTAGCTTTAATGAAGCTTAAAAAAACTAAGAATAGCCCCCCCCCCCCCCCCTCGTTTCCTATAAGCATGCCATAGGAGGTGACTTATTAGGGGTGTTTCCTTCAGAGCCGAAACGCATCTGCCCGAGAGGTAGGGAACCAGCAGTCTGCATACAAATAAGCCAGATCAGTAACACTGGTGTGCATATAAAACTTTTATTCTGTATCAAGACCAAAGTCAAGGATTGGACTAACTACTAGAAATTTCTGCCAGCAATGGAGCAACCGCGAAGAAGAGGAAGAGTGGCTACAAGTAAAGGCGGAATTAGCTGCGGTAGAACCAACATAAGGTTTAGCTGCTGACTGTACATAACATAACATAACCCTTGTATTGATGGAAGCACTAGTACATAAAACCCGCCATCTTTCTCAGTCTTCCGCTTGATGAATAAGTGTATGGTAACTTAGCCCTGCCCATTTCCCGATGTTGTCATTCCATGTGCTTCTTTGTCCTCCTCTTTTTCGACTATCCCCTAATGGTCCTTGTAGTTCAGTCTTTGCAATCGAATTATGTCTCCCCACGTGACCAAACCAAGCTAGCTTGCGACGTTTCCTCACTGCCAAGAGAGGCTCTAGATGCCCCACAAATGTGTATATGTTGTCCCTGACATATTTATTAGTTTTGTATTCTAAATAACTAATTCATAAACTGCTCCTGTAGCATTTACATTCGAAAGCCCGAGTCCTTTCCATTTCTACAGTGAGAGTCCAACTCTCACATCCGTATAAGAAAATAGAAAATGCCAGTGATTTGTAAATTCTGACCTTGACTGCGATGGGGATTTTGCTCTTCCACATCGTATTCAGCTGCAACACCGCGGCTGTTGCCATTTCAAGTCTTGTTTTAATCTATTTGGTTCAGCTGCCATCCATCGTTGCATATGTGGGAGCCAAAATACTTAAAGGTTTCAACTTCTTCTAGTTTTTTCCCCTTTTTTTCTGTATGTTGGTAGGTATTTGGTTGTTGCGACTATTTACCAGAATCTTGCTTTCCTCGGGATTAATTTCCATGCCATATTTACGACAGACTGTCTAATTTTGTAGTAAGTTCTTTCGAGTTCTAATATTAAAAATGTTGTATGTGCTACTACTATTTTTCCTGAATCCCGCCGGCACTTCGGCTAGTATTTCTTCAGATTTTGATTTCAATCTGTTAGACATTGTAGAGCAGTCCGACTGTGCCACGTACACAAAACCAGTGTACGGAATCCCGGCAACTCGCACCAGAGCCACCTGGCTGCAGCAGAAGTGTGCGTTTGAAAGGATACGACAGGACATTTTTTTAGCCTCAACATAATTTTCTGCATTCCCTTAATGGTACGTTCACAGCTGTGTTCCAATAATATTTGTGTAATTTTGTAAACATTCATGATAGGCTGCTGATATATTACTTTTTCGTGTATATTCGAAAATGTAGCCGACAAGACAGACAATTTTGTCCTGCCAGCACGTCGGTAGCGTGTTCTGTTCATCTCCAGACACACTGTGAACTGTCACACACTACCCTGCCTACTGAAATGACAGTCGAGTTTTTTCAAAGCCAAAAACTGTAATGTGTGAGTTTTAGACAGCTTTAAGTATGAAACACCCTACTGTAAGCTTTTAGTTATGCTGCTGTATGTATGAATTGTTGTTCAAATCATGCATCTCGCATACAGTTCATAAGTTCATACACTGACATAACTAACCCCCCCCCCCCCCCCCCTTTTTTTTTTCGTGTGGGTTGTGGGGAAAACAAGATAGACCCATTGCCTCCCCAAAAGCATGTCGAAAGAAAGAGTCGACTAATTGGGGAGCTTCCTTTGAAGTCGGAGTGCATCTGCCAGAGAGGCAAGGAAAAACAGTCTGTATTCAAGATAATGAGATTTGTAAAACTGATGCACATGCAACACTCAGGTTCTGGAGCAGGACTGCAGTTCAGTAATGGGCGAGCAACCAGAACTTTCCACCAGTTTAATTACAGCTGGTGAACGCGAAGAAGAAGAAGATACACATAACTGGTGATTATTAATTACTATTACTATTCCTAAATGCCCGATTTTATTGCATTTAATTTAAATTTATGATTTATTTGTCATTTTAGATAATAAAAAATTTCTGTGACTTCACTTTGAATCGTATGTCTATGTGAGTATGTCATACGATATAAATTGCAATGATGAATCTACTAAAACTGCAGTGTCCCCTGGTGTCTACTGTCGCACTCACTTATTCATTCAGTGTGTGAGTACTGTTACCTTGAGACTGTCTGCTCCTGTCCCCAAATCAGGAATTGTGGACTTAAAAGTGACCAGATACCATCATTTTGTGTGTGTTATGATATATCTCGGTCAAGTCCTCTTAACCTAAATCAGTACTGATCCCTAAAGATTTTCTGTTTTAGGCACACTATCACTAAGTTCAGACCCCTAGTCTCAAATTGATTGTTAGTAACTTAGTTCAGCTTTTATATGTACCTCCTAACTTCACTGAAGTTAGTTGTGTATCCTTTGCAGACATTGCAGAACCAACCCCAGCATTTATTTTAGCTGTTGCAGTTTTTCTTGGCAAATTTTATGTTCAGTAATTTGCCATTGCTTTCTGAAAGGTCAGCTGTCAGCACCACTGTCGAAACCAACGCAAGACAAATTGTCTGCAGCTGGGATCGAACTTGGCATTACAAAGCGTGTTTGCAAAGCTTAAACCATAGACACTGACAACTTCACTCAAGCTGATTCATTTCAATTTATTCATAGTGGTTCAGCCTTAAGTGAAGTAATTCTGTCTCACCTGTGCTCAAGCCAGTGCCATTCTGAAATGTTATTCTGCAAATAACTAATTCCTCCTCTGAACCAGCTAGTTCTACCTGTATGTCTATTGCCGCTCAACTCCAGATGGTTCTATATCTTGATTCCACTCCAGCTTGTTTTCAGTTTTGTCTGCCCTGAATCTTAGCTTCACCCCAGCTGATTCTACTCACAGTTCCGCCCCACTCCCAGATGATCTTTGCACTGTAATTAAAACAAAACTATAACCCTCACATCTCTGAACCTTTCCTACTCCTATATACAGCCAAATTATCTTCTTAGCGTTCACCTCTATAAACTAGCGGACAGTTCTGGTTGTTCATCCAATCCTAGGTTTTGATCTTGATCCAGAACTTGAGTTTAGTATGCACATTCGCTTTAGAGACTTGGAATATCTGTGTAATGACTGTTGGCTCCTTGCCCCTCAGGCAGATGTACTCCAACTTTGAAGAAAACACCCCTGAATAATCACTTCTCCTATGACATAAGGGGGCGGTGGATCTGTTCTTTGTTCTTCATTAAAAGACTAATGTGGGGGGTGGGGGGGGGAGGGTGAGTAGAGGATTGGGGATATTCAACACTGAAGTGAAAACAGAGGCGGACTTTTAATTAAGTTGCCGTTAGTACTCTTAGCATGTCAACTCTTCGGTGTCTACTGAAGAGTGGGATGGAGCACATATATTGGAATATCCCAGGTACAGTGATGTCAGTTCTTAATTTACCCATAAAACCAGGTGCATATGCACACTACAAACCTCGCCCTATATGAACAAGATGATCAAAGCCAGATCCTGTGCCATGCATGTTGAATATGTGTGCAGCCTTTCATTATGTAAATTAGTTAGTGACTAGAACTAGTGTTTCACATTCTAGAAATATATTTAAAAAAAAAATAATTTAACATATCCTAAAGGAATGACTCTAGACAATAAACATAGACCCGGAAAATATTTTTACATCAAGAAATAAATGTGAAGACTTAGCGACAGCTGCACATGTAATAGGAAATAAAAAGAAAATGACATACTGTGGTTTTAAAAAAAAAAGAGAAAAAAAATTAACACTACTCTTTAGTTTGCATGATAGTCCTTAAATTTGAATTTTGTTCTTACTTTTGCAGCCCCAGAATCAAATGCGGCGCCCACCACATCGTCCAATGGGTCCACCCGGCCTGCGACCACCACCGCCAGGAATGGGGCACCTCCGCCCACCCCCTCCCCTAGGTATGCCACCACATTTAGGCCCCAGAGGACCCCCACTAGGTATGCCACCCATACCTGTAATGGGACCTCTACCGCCACCACCAGGCCCAATGGTCAGCAGCTGTACAAACTCCACGGATCCAGAGTCGATGGACTCTCGGTTGTTTGTTGGAAACCTCAACACTGTGGTCCTGTCTAAAGAAGACGTTGAAGGCATTTTTATCCGCTATGGTTACATTTTAGGCATTTCTATGCATAAGGGCTATGCCTTTGTGCAGTTCAGCCACCCTGATGAAGCCAGAAGGGCAGGGGTCAGTGAGGATGGACAGATGTATGCTGGACAAGCAATTGGTATGTAATTCTCTATTGTCATTTCAGTTTTATTTCTCCTCAGTAAACCATGTCTTCACTGGTAACAAAGATCAATGCAAGATACATATTCTGTTATTTTGGCAAATTATTTTTTGTGATTTTATAATTTTTTTCTAGGTGCACCAGGTGATGTAATACTATCTATTGGAAAATCCAGTATGTTTATGAAAACATAATGTGATAAAGCAGTCATGTAAAATAGTTCAACATACAAATTTTGTATCACCATATTGACTTATTTTTCTTCAGAGGATGTTTACCTTCCCAAAAGGATATTTTGTATTGATTTTAGATCAGTGGTTTCAAAGTGGTTGGTGCTGTCTACTGGGGGTAAAATGCGCAGCTGGCTTTGAGGCTAAGCATTTTTTTTAGATTTACCAGCAAGATGTGTATGTATGTCACAAGCGACAGTCAGTTCCTGGGGATGTTGCAGCAGATGCCGTCTTTTTTCCTTTTTCATTCACCCTTAAAAGAGTGGTTAGCACAATATTTTGGGGTTTAGTTAGGCTGTTCCCTGTGTAAATAAGAATAAAGCCACTGCCAACCCAAAAGAACTTGTTGTAGGAGTGGACCAATTGGGAGCTTCCTTCAAAGTCGGAGTGCATCTGCCTGAGTCGCGAGGAACAACCAGCTGCACACAAATAACCCAGTAAAACGTATGTACCCGCAAAAGTCAGGCCCTGACACAAAGCCAAAGTCCAAATAGATGAATAACCAGGACTTTTCCATTGGAGCTCACAGCTGGTGAACCAAGAAGTTAGGCTGTAATATCTGCACTGTTTGGCCAAACTTATAATTAAGTGCCTTTTACAACATGTTATGGGAACAGAGGGTGTTCTTTAAAAAAAACACACACCAAAATAGGGCCTTAAAATCCACACAGGTGGCAGTAGATGCCAAATATAGGACATAATCACTCTGAAATATCATGGGTATATACTTTTGGAGTGATTAGATGCACGTTGAAAGTGACTGCCGAATTTTGTGAAATGTCTGATCAAAAGAGAACACATTTGTTGGTCACTGGAATTCATTCTGACCAAGCCGGTCACACCTTGCTTTAAACTGATAGAATTCAGTCTGTAACCTGTGAGGCAAGGGGTTGGCAGCACCAGCAGTTTGAGAATCTCTGTTGTAGATCTCAGGAGGGGTTGGCAGCACCAGCAGTTTGGGAATCTCTGTTGTAGATCACTAGAGAGGTGGCCAGCAAAGGGGTTGGTTTGTATTTTTTCTACTCAGCCTGAAGCCATTTTTGGGAATCACTTTAACATATTGCATCTTTTGACCTAAATGGGAGAAGGGAATAATGGTGTCGGTTACTTGTCTCATAAAACATTGCTTTTAAAAATATCATTTTAATTTTTTGATTAAACTGACATTTAATAGTTTCTTTTTCAAAAGACAAGGTCATTTTATGCAAATATGTAATGTGTTTTAATGTGTGATATTTGAAAAATGTATTCCATCTAATTGATTTTTCTGTTTTAATTACAGATAAGTGTGACTGATTGTAGCTTCGAGTTGCAGATTGTTATGCTTATTTGTGAAGTCTACTTATTAAATTTTAGTCTCTGGTTAATTTTGTTTACACTTAACCAACAAATTCTGTGTAAATTTATATACATTTTTTATTTTTTTCTCAATTTCTGGTGCTTACATTTAATGTTGCATTGAAACATGTTTTCTAGTATAGTTATGTATTGTTTCAGTAAACAGTTTTCCTTCCGTCCTTTCTCTGATGGTGGTATTTGTTAGCTCTAGAATTTCAGCTACAGTGCAGACACTGGGATATGCACATACATGCACCTGCTGAAAGCACACACATGTGCACACAGTTGTTATATTTCTGTTAGTTTTTGAAACTTCACATGTTAGTTGTTTTTTAAAGCTTCACATTTATATCCACAAGAGTTTCATTCTAGAGACAGTATTGCAGATATTGGTGATTTTTTTTTAAGTGAACGAAAGAAGAATATCCACAAGATGGACATTGTGCATTAGGCAGACAAACTGGCAGTCTTTAAATGTTGTGGAAAATGATAATGTGTGTAATGTGACAATATTTTCATCTTACTATGTCATTTTACCCATCTTGAAAATAGTGTAGTTTTTCTTTTTACACTGCCATATTATTATATTTCCCGTGTGGGTCCCGGGGCCCATTATGGGGAAAACAAGAATAGACCCACTGCCTCCCCAGCAAGCATGTCATAATAGTCGACTAATTGGGGGCTTCCTTTCAAGTCAGAGCATCAGCCTGAGAGGCAAGGAACCAGTAGTCTGCATACAAATAAGCCAGATCTGAAAAAACGATGCACATGCAAAACTCAGGTCCTGGAACAAAGCCAAAGTCCATTAATGGATTAACAGCCAGGTCTTTCTGACGGGGTTTACAGCCAGTGAACGCAAACAAATAACATTAAAATAGGCTACATATATATCTTAAGACTTGAAATCACCTACATTAGTACAGCTGTCTCAAGTAATCTTATTGATCTTCTTTCTTCATGTTTGTACTGCCAATTACTGCCCTCATTTACCAATTTTGCAGTTGGGGAAGGGGTAGGGTTTGAGCCTTAGGGTTTAGTTTAGTCGACCAATCATCATCATGTGCTCCATTATACTTCTAACCCAGCTAAAAGTGTCTCAACACAGTGCACAAACTCTGTTGCACCAACGGGGATCCTGAAACACTGTTGGTAGATTTTTAACTACAAATTTTGCCCGTGCAGCGCCGTTAGGCTATTTTTGTTAATTTCCAAATGCCAAGGGATTTTTTTTACGTGCCCAACAATGCACACAGGCATCTAATCTTATTATCCATAGACCAGGGAAAATTACTAGAAGTCCACGTAAAAAAATCCCACCCTTCACCGGGGTTTGAACCCGGGACCTCCAGCACTTGAGATGGATGCCATACCTCAGGACCACACAGCCCTCTCAAAGGATTCAGTGATGTCGCTAGTACTTTCACCGCAGACTGCAGATTAGGATTTTATTTTTGCCCCGACAAGATAAATCCATGACCATATAGAGGATCGAAAGTGGGTCTTCCGCAGAAGATCCCAGCGCTATTAACCGTTCGGCCAGTCACTCCTCTCATTTTTGTACGCTATTCTAAAATAAATATTACATATCCATTCGACTAGTGCAAGCTGTTTAATTTGTGTTTCAGTATAATAGACACATGTGTTTTTAAAATAAAGTTCTATGTGCTTAGGTTTTCAAAACGTTTCTGGTACAGACAAAACTTTCGATAAAATATAAATATTTATATCCTGAGGTCACAACTGTATGCCATAGCAGAAACCAGTTGCTTTTGGGGTTGTTTGTTTCAAAGATATTGTAAAACTCCTTTTTGTTGTTTATTAACACCCACTCATACACTAAAAGTTCCATATTAACACAAACTCATACGCAGTCTTCTCATTAGAGAGTATATCTCAGAGAGACTGGGGGGATTTAAAAAAATTCACAAGTATTGAGGGCCAGTCAGTGTCTGAAATAAGAAATTAATCAAGGAAACAACAAGCAACAGAAGTAAAATGAGAAAGTCTAATGCATGCATCACTTTTACATATCGCTATTGCCTGGTGTGTTGTTGGATGAACTGTCTGTGTATACTTGTCTATATCAAAGGTTTTCATTTGTAATGGTGGCTGAAATGGCCAGTGATTACCTTTGACAGGGAGTAGGCGGTGATCAGGTTCATTTTAAATATCTCCTAGAATTAGCGTAGCATGCTTAATTTGAGCAGGCCACAATATAGTTCCATAATTATCTCACATGAACAAAGTAGAAAAGGGTTACAGATTTTTCTTTGATGCTTCTTGTATGTGTTTTGTAATAGTTTAATAATACTTTTATGTGCTTTGTCATGGTTTAATGATACTTTTACGGTTTTAGTTTGGGTTTGAAACCAGGTGATGGAATCATATGGACACCAGGTCTACAGTAGTAGCTGATTAATTGTATAATTGAAAACTCATGCGTTCTCTGACATTGCAAAATAATTGTAAGGAAGTGACTGTTAAGTGAAAAAAAAAGTAATTGTGTAGTTTCTCTCTAAAAATTTTCTTGTTAATTCATTTCCACCAGGTTTTCCTTATATGCTGTCCATAAACTACATAAACTTTAGTGTGGATTTTTTTGGGTTGTTTCTGCTAAGTTTGATCACTTTTCAAATGTAGCATTTTCAGGATTATTTCATTTTGATTTAAATCTTTTAAAAAACCAAAATAATATTGTGGAAAATTGTGTCGTCAGAGAATAATAATAATATATATATATATAATATATATATATATATATATATATATATATATATATATATATATATATATATATATTTTTTTTTTTTATTTTCCAATTTTTTTAAAAATGTTTCAACAGAATGTCAGCTTAAAAAGTAGATGCTTATCTGCTGGCCCAAACAAAGATCTTTGGTTTAAATATGTAATTAGGAGGATTTACAACAACATTGATGTTGAATCTCCCCCAGGTTGACCCAGCCTAAAATGCATACCAGGTAATGTCCTGGGAAGTAAAGGCGGCTGTGTGATGTTGAGCACAGCGCCAATCTATTGTTCATTGGTCTATAAACAATATAAGCTTGACACCATATGCTGAAAACACCAATAGCATGAGGTCCTTTTTTTTTATTGTTTTATTTAAATAAAAAGAAAGCCAAAGATGCAATGAGGCCATCATGTTCCTGACATTGATGCTGTGTGTCAACTCTTGGCTGTTCATATCCACGATAGTTGTAGACTATCTCTGTAGTATGTATGGTTATAGATGAACCACTAGTGGCACCAGCAGCACTCCCTCACACCACCAGCTCCTGTCTGTAAGATGTTGACTTCTTTTGTTTCTAGAAAATTATGGATTTTTATAAGCTTTTATTGAGCTCAATCATGTTGTTTGTCTTGTCAGAATTTTGCCTTTACATTTTAAATTATTTGCTAAGCTGTCAAACT